CTCTCTCTCTCTCTCTCTCTCTCTCTCTCTCTCTCTCTCTCTCTCTCCCTCTCTCTGTCGCTTTTTGTGTTTTTTCTCAGTCGTTGAGCTTCACTTCCGCTGCGGATCAGAGTGTCTTATTCCGAGAAGCATACTGATTAATTTATCTGACACGAAGCAAAGCGCTGATAATGATACCCCATCATCATTGCATAAACCGTGCGCAACGAACGTGTTTCCATATACGTGTATGTGCCGATTTTCAAGCGTAGTATGAGTAAGATGTCAAGAAATCAAAGCGCATGTATTTCCAAGGTGATACAACAGAAAAAAGGTTACCATTTCGTGAGTTGAAAATTTCCATTATTTTTTATTTTGGCATCAATCCCTTGCATTGCGTAATTTAATATAACAAACAATACATACAATACACACACACACACACATACACGATTCGTGAAAATTGAAAGCAAAGAAGAAATAAAGTAAAAATGAACGTATTTCATCGATAATTTGTATTCCATGGAGCGGTTTATATCGAACAGGAAGTTTCTTCTTGTTCGTTTTAATTATTTTCTTTTTAGAACTAATTCAATTAGTTTGTCTGTGTTTTTGACAGCGCGAGTTAAAAGAACGAACAAAAAACGCCGCAGCGTTTACCGTTCACTTTGATTTGAAGCTTATCGATTTTAAATGCACGCAAGCATTCATTGGACCAATTGATGTGATGTACAAAATGATGGAAATTCGATGTGAATAGAGTACAATTTTGGTAGTGATTTTAGTCAATTCGAAATTGTGCCAATGAAGTGTATCTATCTATTGCTGAGAGCAAATAACCTTTTTATTTGATTGAGTTTATTTGTTTGCATGTGTGTCTTTTTTTTGTCTGTTGTAACATCGCAGATAAATTGAATTTTGCTGTGTCTTGTTCGCATTTCACTAGATTCAATACAAAGTAGCAATGTTACAGACTCGGTTGAAATTTTTGTTTACAATCTATTTATTTCGATTATTGTTTGGGCGAGCGAATTAAATTCGAAATCAATTTAATTTGCAATCAACAAAATGAAAATCGGATATTCTAAAACAAATACAATTTCAATCGCATATTATCGATAACATTTCAAATCTATACTTTCGAATAAATCCATCCAAATGCCACACCATTCATTCTTTCGACATCATCCAGTTCAACCGCAACATTTCACCATCAATTGATTGATCTACTTCGATTTTTCGCATTTCGATTTATTTTTCCCATCTGTAGATGTTTGTATCGACGCATCGCATTTTGCACGGTGCTCTTTGATCGAATCACATTTGATGTGCTTGTCGATAAAGTATTCCAAATAAACATTAAATATTTGTGCTAAATTGAAAAGAAACAACATTTATATATTGGAAAACGAATAAGGAATTACAGCTTTAATACGAATACTGAGAGTCACATCTGAAGTATCATACAATGAACGTGAAAAAAAACGCAATCCACATGAATGTTGGATACGTGCACAGAGATACCAATTTGAAAATGGGGAAATTGTTTTGAACATGACTCGTTCAAATCTTCATTGCGACGGTGGTGGCTAAGAAAAAAACTTCCCTTACTGTGTATGTGTTATCAAAGTCATTTGTTATGGGACGGGAACAAAGGCAAAAAAATGAGCAATCTTCAGAAATAGAATATTCAATGGAATCCGATTCAATATTGGAGTTAAGTGGCAGCACTCATCAACACAATGTCATCCCAAAATGCATTTGATAATGGAGAACAAAATGATGAACTAGCAACTGGTGACATGATAAATGAAGATTGATGATGGTTTCAAATCGAATTTTATTTAAAATGGTCCATTTTTTTTCTGGAATAAAAGACAGCGGAAAATATTTTCAAAAAAAGCTACACGCGATACAAAATCATATGCTTTTCTACATGTTTCACGAGTTTTTTTTCACCATACTCAAATTTTGTTTTTGAACTTTTCCAAATAGTTTTAGCACGAATCGATATTTTCTTACCTTCTGCCTTTCATAATTCATTTTCAGTTACTTACCTGGATATCCTACCAAAAATTATTAGCAACGAAACATATAAATCGATTCCAATTAATTTCCCCCATACAAAAAAAAAAAAGCCAACAGAAAGAGTGATGAAATGCAGGAAAATAAAAATTCCCTCTCTGTATTTCCGTGTCATCAAAACTGTAGATCGGCAAATTGAGAGAATGACAGATTGTGAAATGAGCAGTGAAGAGTGTGATTTGATTGCGGTAAATGACAAGTCGATATGGTTATCACATCTCCTTAATTCCGAATCGTTGCGTACGATCAATGGAGTCAGCACGATAAAATCGCATCGTATGTGATATCGACATCGCGTGCTATGTATGTTGATATCGGACGACGATAAGAGCGCATTCGTCGATAAAACCAAAGCCAATTCAATTTTATTGCCAATAAAACTGATGGAATTTTTACGTATTTTGTTTTCAATATTTTTCAGCACATAATATCGCGTGGAGAGAGTTGTTCGATTGATACGCCAACATTTCATTTAACCTAAAGTATCTAGCATAAAAAAAAGTCCAATCCCAATAACAAGTGTAATAAAAGCTCATCGGATCGGTTCACAAACAAGACGATGACGACAAAATCGAGAAAAAAAAACTGGAAAAAAAGACAATGCACACCTCTCTACCGTACAAAATGTGTCATTTGCTATTGTGTCAAAGGATAAATATTAAACAGCGCGTAACATGTTCCACATACATATGTGCATGTTTCGGAGACAGTGTGTTGGCGTGCAAATCGAAATGCATGTGTTCTGGGCGCCTGTGAATACAATTTACAAAAATATCGAAACAGCGCAACGTGACACAATTTTCATCTGTTCCATGTGCACCAGTACGGTCATTATGCAAACGATTGGAAGTTGGGGGATGGATTGGCGCAAAACGCAATAGACCAACGCTTACAACGTCAAATAATCAATCAGATTTTGAGGGAAAATATTCGCTTCGTTGGTTACAGAGAACTATACAGAGAACGAGGAAACGGGGGAGAAGTGTAGAGGGAGGAAAATTGAATAACACATAATGGCAATGACAACAAACACACCTTTTGCGATCGGAATGGTATCGAAGAAGAAAAATTTACATGAAACTTGATTGGAACAACAAATTGCTTCAATGCTTAATTCGTCTGAATCTCACCGTTTCCGATCGTATGGGCTCCCTCAAAACCAGCATTGTTGTGCTACTATTTTCCCCTTTTTTCTCTACTTGTTTGTATATGTGTTCTTTCGTACCAATTTTAGACTTTACCATTGCCATTTTTAACACCGTGTTGCGCGTCGTTTTTCTCATTGCCAATATATTTCGATGCAAGATTTATTCGTTTGCCGCAATGTGCACAAAGCACAAACATACCAGAGTGCATCGGCACTCGACACATTTCCCCTGTCCGTCGTGAGCGTCGTCGTTGTTTCTGCCCCCCCCCCCCCCCTTTCTCTCTTTATTCGCTTCTCTTGTATTCGCTCTCGCTCCCGCTAACTTGTCTACTCTATGATTCTATTTCATTCGTTTATTCTTTTTGCATGTGTTCCGTTTTGCTCGCTGTGAATGAGAACCGGCTATTCATCAATATTAAATTTTGTAGTGCTTTGTTTTCTGTTTGACTACTACTCGCACTATTTCGTTTCGGTGTGTGAGCGACGAATTTTTTTTTTCACTCTCGTTTTGGTCTCTCTTTCTCTCCTTGCGATTGCTGCTTATTGCATATATATTATTTATCTGTGATATGTGGAGAATCGAACTAGAAGCAGCAAAAGGACACAAATTGTGCTGCAAAGTGTGCATGAAACGAACTGAAGAGGAAAAAATACACACACTCATCCGAGCTACATCGAAATGAAAAGAAACAGCTAGAGAATGGAATCGAGAAAATTGCCGTCCAGAGGGAAAATAAACGAAATTGTGTAAAATATGTTCAGCCAAATGTTATCCTGCATAATTTTTACTTGCTCACTTATTCTGGTGCCGGTTTGCCATCTTCGGCATCGATTTACATTGCACCCTTCACCATAAACAATATTGACTTCGTATTCGTTAGAGAACGATTTTTCTTTCCCATTCTCCATCCCTTCCCAGCTCTGTCCATCTGTTTAGTTGGCTTTGTGTGTGTCTGTGTGTATGTATTTTTTTTGCAACCAGTGCGCCTACTGAAGCAAATATCTTAACGAATGAAAAATAGACGAAGCACCACATAGCCTGTGTTCACCTGTTTTTGCTTGATTAAACCGGAACAACAGCACTTTGATCAGTCAAGCGAAATGTTAAATTCATTTCAGCCACTCGCTTCAGCAGATCCTCCATGGTTGCAAAGCAAAACATTGTGGCAAGTGGAAGGCAGTAGCAGCAGCCACTGCCGCCGCCATCGCAACTGTGTTTGTTCTATACTCCATTTGCGACTAACACTCGACTGACTTCCCAATAAATAACGAACAACTACGACACTCGCATCAATTGAAGGCGTTCACATTTTATTTTACTCCTTGAGTATTTGCTATTACAGTAGAACCTCGATTATCCGTCCTCCCATTATCCGTCCTCCCATTATCCGTTACCTCCGTTAACCGTCACACCTTTTCAAGGTGGAGAAGTTTTTTTTCAGTTCATTTTTCAGTTTATTTCACTTGAACATACGAATAAGGTTGCCAACTAGCTTTCATAATCAAAATCAATTGTGTGCCCCTTTTCGCACAATAAGATTTGAAATCAGAGGCTTTGCGTTTTCGGTACATATCTCGTATATACAAGATTGTCCAATATTTTGGACAATGCACCAAATCTGTTCTCATATCTATTATATATTTTTTACATCACCTTGTTTTTCATCATAAACTAATTAGAAACAGAAAGTATGGAAATTATGATTATTTTGTTTTATTCATATGAAAGTCTCGATTATCCGTCTTTTTCGATTATCCGTCAATGCGCTGGTCCTGTGCCTGACGGATAATCGAGGTTCTACTGTATAAAATATTTCGATATGGTTTTACCATCTACCACCAATTATTGGAATAGTTAAAATGAAGCTGAAATGCTAAGCAAATAAATCAAAGTATTTGGTTATGTTTCACAAATATCATCATGTGATGCTGCACGGCAGCGTTATAAAATTGGAATTGACTTCCAAAAGAGAGGGATATTCAATTAAAAATGGAGAGAGAGAGAGAGAACTGCGGCATCTAATAACTGCATGAGGTCACCACCTCAAATCGAAGCCCTAGCCCGATTAAATGCATCACCAATTTCGCCAGGTTGTTAGCGTCCTCCAATCCCGAGTGATTATTATAGTTTCGATGAATGTTGGCCCAGTCAAGCGCATTCGTGAATGTGAACCGATTCGGAAACAGTTGCTGTTTGAAAAATTGAGAGTTGAAGTAAAATCCAAGATAATTTAATTTTTTTTTCTTTCATTTCAACTTGAAACACACTTACATCGAATGCACGCCGAATATCGATCCAGGCTTTCATACACTCAAAGCGTGATTTTTCGTTTCGTATGCATTCACGATAGAGATAGTGTCCCAAATCCCAGTCAGACCATGTGCAAAATGTTGCATTCAATACTCCGTTCGACGAATGGAGATTTTGTGGTGTTGCAAAAACCAAACTACGCTTCACAATCATCTGTCGCAGCCAGCATAGAAACTTGTTGTAAATGTCATCAAACGGTTTCTCTTGGTCAATGAACGATTGCGTGATTCCGGTCGTACTGATGCAATATTCACTGAGCGTTGGAAAATGAACGGGCCGCACATAATGATGGAACAAGGATTCGATGAGACCATTTTCAGTGTTCAACAACAATGCCGAGAATTCTGACAGTTGAAGAGTGGAAAAAAGAAGAAGAGAAAACAACAACAAGAACAATGAAAAACCAAAGAAGTAATGTCACACACACACACACTCCGTAAAAAAAAACTCTTTTTGATTCCAAATTGTACGTTTATGTAAATGCCAAGTGTATAAGCTATCGTTGTTTTACCTATGATTTCGACGTCATTTTTGCGCGATCCATACGCATCCCAGTTTGTGGTCTGGAAATTCACACAAATCAAATACTGATAAGGCATTGCGATGATGATTTACATGGAACACTGTTTTCTCCGCAATCAAAAATGTTGAGCTTCTTTTCACCCAAAAATGTCTGTGAACACTGAATCGAATCGAAACTCCAAATGACACATTTGATGCTCGTGCAAAGTCAACCGAAATATTCGATACAAATGAAAGCATTGAATTTTTGCTGTCGATCATCTCTCGAACCATCTTTGCTGCAGCAAATGCGACATAAAACTGCTGACAAACGAAAACACAAACAATAAACGCATTCGTTGTTTATTCTTCGTTGGAATATGAAGCGATTTGTTTTGATTTCATGTTGTTTTCTCTCTCTCTCTCTTTCGACAATCGGCTATCGGCACACCGAGTGTATCGTGCACAATTATGTTTACGCACACCAAAGCAAATCATACACAACGTTCCAAGTGTCAACTTGTCGTGCCGAAAAATTTAAATAGATCAAATCACACTGTAATAACGTGTTCGTATTATATCAAGCAAAGTAGCTGGTTGGTGCACACATCATTAATGCATTTTGACAACCAAATTTCATGATGAAGACAAAATTTATATGATGTGCGAGGCAAACCACAGGATTTTGAATGATTACTCATTGTTTATTACTTTTCTGAATGGCATTCTTTTACGGTTCTAAGGAAAACGAATTGTAGCCTAATTGATAGCCTTTTGGAGAAATGTATACATAAATAAATGATTGCCGATGCGATGCGATGTGAAGAGAAGTGTGACTCATTCAAGTATAAACAAAAACACGCATTGTTTCTTTTTTCAAAGAGTATCGTATAAACAAGCAGGCATTCTTTTTAGTGCGGATGTTTCGTATTCGTTGCTGTGACAACTCGCATCTTGCATCATATTTACAATCGAAGGCAACTGGTTTTTATATGGCAGTCAAAAGTTTTCTCTATCTAGGAGCGTATGTGTGTCGTTTGGCTTTTAAAAGTTTTTTTTTGTTCTCTGTTATTGTAGCCCTTCATTCGAGTTGAACCAACTGATAAAATGAACAAAAGTAAAACTCATCAAGAGCAAAATACCATTCTGGCCAAGGCGGTCAATCATTTGAAAATGGAATTGAGAAAGTCAAAACATGAAGTTTCTTCATTGCGTCATCAATTGCAAGTATCGCGTGAGCAAAATGTACAGATGGCTGTACAGCAAACGACTCTATTCGAAACCATCGGACAGTTTGAAAACAATTTGGACGAAGTATTTGCAAACAATTCATTTGCCTATGTTTTACTATCAACAAGCATCAAACAAATTACTGCAAAGAATCCACGGCGATCAAACGTTAGTGCAATCGATGTATCGACTTCAACCGAAATCAACAGTCCAATGAACGGCAACCAATCGACTACAGTTGATAGACCACATCAAAGTACGCAGGATGATGACAAAGATGACGCAGATATTTTAAATACAGCCTTTCTCGTTGACTCGGAACATGTGTCCGACGAATCGATCGAATTACAACGCAATGATGGTTTATCAACTGAGTACCAGTCGGGTGCCGTAGGAGTCGACCAAAAATTAATTAAGAAACCGTCTCGATTGCCAGTCCCATTGCGACGTTCGGTGAATTTCAAACGGAATGTCGGTGATTTCCAGCCGAGTGCCAATGATTCCAATCAAACGGTGATGCTAACTCGACGAAAACGCAAGATTGTTGACTACCGCGAACAACCAATCAATCGAAAAATGCGACGCTCTGGTTAAAGCCGACAGATTCCATTCATTGCCATTTACCTAATTACGCATACCATCCGATTCAATCGAATACTTCGATTTAAGTGATTTCTGTAATTTCATTCGTATTGCGCCCAACACTTTTATTTACCTTACAATAGCCTTGCGTAGATGTGACATTCCATTTCAAGTTTTTGTTTAGTAAAAGAAATATCGTTTGTTTTTGTTTAATCTCATACCAATACAATTGGACCCTCTGATTTGGAATTTAAATAAAAGTTGATACAAAAGAAAAACACGAAAAAATTCTAATTTTCATTTTTACACAGAATTTATTTATAGTTTTGCCATTCCTTTGTGTATTATCAGAAAAAAAGGTAGTAGTACATTATGCGCATAAATATCATTATTTGTTTATTTTTTATTCCCCTATTTCATGTGCGTTTCCTATTTATCTCATTCTAATAAAATTGAATACAAAAAAAAACACATTCAAAATGTGGTTTGAGCACATCTCAACGAGATTTTTCTAATACTTTTTCTAGATATTATTTTTGCAACAAAAGAAAATTCGTCGTCATTGATTGAAGGGAAACTGTATCTTGTTAATATTATATTTATTTGCATGGGATGGTGTTAATATTTGACGCAACATAATGAATAATAGAATGGGGGGCATTGAACAGAACCAACAAAAGAGAAAAAAAAACTAAAAGTACATTAATGGAATTTAGTGTAATCTTGTCATCAGACCAATAATCATAATATTGATGTTTCATTTACTATTTTTTTCTTTTTTTCAATTTTTTTGTTCATCCATTTGTAAAGATTTGATTAGTTATAGCAAAGTCTCGTGTTGCTATTGTTTAGTATTAATTTGGATTGATTGAATTGAATCTCTTAATTATTCGGCTTACTACTCTGCACAGGCGATGAATCTCCAGATGGCCAGAGCGAAACTGAAAATATTGAAAGAAAAAACAAATCGAATTAGACTTTTCCTTTGGGTCTGGCCATATTTTCAGTTGAAATCTTTGTGACATATAGAGTGACATATTTTTGACAAGATTTGAAATTGTTTGGGCTGAGTGTGTGTGGTGCAATATGAATGCATTCAATGGATTTGGTTGGAAATTTCATTCATTTTATATGCCAAGAAAAGAGAGAGAAAGAGAGGAATAGAGAAAGGTTAAGCTGACCGCTTCAGTCCATAGCATTTGATTATGGTGCATCCTCAATTTTTGTGATACAACTGAGTATTTCATCCAGAGCAAATATCATATTTGGATGTGTCGTTTTAATTTTTTGTTTTGTTTCTTTCGGAATCCGACATTCATGTATTTTCGTTCAGAACGAAAAAAAAATTCGCACACCATAATATCGAAAACACAATTTGCAATGCAATAAATAATTTAAAGCCTGACTAGTAGCCACCACATGTGCATTAAAGGATGCTGTCTCTCTCTCTCTCTCTCTCTCTCTCTCTCTCTCTCTCTCTCTCTCTCTCTATGTGTATGCGAATGTTTTTGTTTGGGCAGCGACAACAAAAATAGAAATTGTGACGAGCCAGACAACAAATTACAATTTTCATTGGACCATAGAATGCACAACTCAAACATGAACATCCCGCCCGTAATGCATGCATGCAATGAATGCGAATATGACTGGGGTTATATCTCGCTTGTTTCGTTTTTTTTCCCTTTTCAATACATATTGGTCCCGTTTTTTGTGGTCGCTCAGTGTATATGTGTCTGATTTTTTTGTTTCTCTATCTCTCCCCCCCTCTCTCTCTCCGTTCCACTCGATTCCGTTTAAACAATTCGAAAATATAATAAAAATGTGTTTTATTTATCACATTTGTGTCGCACATATTTATTCTATTTCACTTGCCGTTTATTTGATTAAACGTAAAAATGAAATTGGGACAGAGAGCATGGCGCGCTGGTGATAATTGTGATAGCGAAGCGACCGAGAGAGCGCACGCACACACAAACACAAACACGCACTCTTGCAAATAATCATATATACTTACCAGCTATTATGATGACCAGAAACACGCCAATGCAACCCATGATAATCATCATTTTCATGTTGGCCCACCATTGTTTTCGCTTTAATTTGCCGGCCTGTTGTTCAAACTGCGATGCACCATGTTGCAAGGCATCGGCCCGTTGATCCAATTCCGTTAACTTTTGGTCACGTTCCAATACTTTCTCCACGTTGACACGCATTATACCAACCACTTCATCGACCTGAGCCTGTGTCTGTTGCAATCGCTTTTGCGATGGATTTTGGCCGCCAATGGTGCTGCTATTTGGTGGTGGTGGCAATGTAGGAATACTGATTCGATTAATTTTATTTATAGATCATTGTTCGATGTGCGCGATTTGCATGAAATGGGTTAGTTTATTAGTACGTGCAATCAACAAGAACATAAAGCAATGATTTTGTTTTTAAATTTATGTCACAAGCTAAAACGACGACGAACTCAATGAAATGGTCATGGCAATCTGCTTCAATAGCACTCATTTTACTGATTCAATTGAAGGAACAAAAAAAAACTTTGTTTGTACACCTTTTTTTCGTCGGGGGGACGAGGATTAATGGAAATGTGAAAATGAATTGGATCAAATAAACACACGCACAGAAGACGAGGGTCAAAATGAATTTGAAATGGAAAAAAAACAAAATTTCCCTTTTGAATTGGAATCCTCTTAAGGTGAAAAAAAAAACTTACGCAACTTACCAAAGTTGCGTGCATACTCCCAGCAAAATGGGAGAGAATGGGAAATGAAAGAAAAAAAAACGTAATGTAATCGACTAAATTGTTTGGAGTGCAATTCGAGGGAGCTGGCAATCGTACACTTGACTCAAGCCAAATGTGGTACAGAAACGCAAAGTGACGACGATGGGAAAAGAAAGCGGAAAATCTGTTTAATTTAGACGGAGAGTTATAACGAGCATAGTAATAAAAAAAATGAACGCGAATCGGAATCACGACACCAACACGGGATTCGGCAAACGACGAAAAAAAAAAATGAACAAAAAACAGACACACACACACACACACACACACACACATACGTGTGCGCGCGCTCACGCGTTTTCCAAAACGGAACGGGAGGGAAGGTCGTGAAAGCTGCAACGAAGAAGAAAAAAAAGAGCAGCCACGTCAAGTGTGAAAGACATCACGATGACAAAATAACGGAAGAGATTTGCACTGAACTATTGCAAAGAGCTTGAAATGCGAACAACACAGTGTCGGCAATGGCAACAGTCGTCGGAAATATTAATGGGAGCCGGCAAAAGCAAAGAAAAAAAAAGTCAACTGCAGAAAAAGAGCAAATGAGGAGAGATAGAGAAAAAAAATATCAACGGTCGCAGCGAAGGATAAAATTATATAAAATTTTAATCTGCATAATATGCTGGAGAAGACAACTATCTCTACGGTTATTTTGCATTTTGGGATGTTCTTATTGCTGTTGTTGTTCCAGTATTTTTTTCCTCGGCTCAATAATGCTCGATTCCATGGTGTCCTGTTTTATGTGTCTCAGTGTGTTTCACTCATTTTCTTTGGGTGGCATGGCAGAAGGGTGCACATTTGTCGAAAGGCTGCATCTTGTTAGTTTGCTGCAAGTTTTTTGTGTCCATCTTGTACATGTGCATTTGTTGCGCTAATAGTGGAATGAGGATACGTTTGTATACGGAGTTTTTTTTTCGTCTTCTTCGCTTCTGTGTTGCTCAAATGGCTGGCGCTCTCAGGCCGGCATTCGATGTGCGTTTTTCCATCGGAAAAGTAATGTGTCCGTTGCAAAAAGCAATGCAGTAATTTGTTTTTCTTTTCTCTTTGAACGTGTTTCCTTCTTACATTAAAGAATATGAGATTATGTGGAAGGACACAAAAAAGTGTGCTTACATCCCGTTTTTTTTTCCTCCTCTCACTACATATAGAATGAGCCAGCTACTTTTTTTCTACAACTGCATTGTCGAAACTGTGCCTGGTCTCTTCACCAAATTATTGAAGAAAAATGAGTATGGGCCAGATGAAAAACAAAGAGCCAGTTAATTGACGATTGCGTGCAAAATGCATTGCTGCGACACAGTACTTGGAGATAGGATTACATTTTTGTTCCTTTCGGGAGATTTCGAGAACTTTTCAGTGTTTTCGAGATTTTGAAACATTTGTTGAATGATTTATCTTTCGAATCGAATGCTAACCGACTGCGGAATAAACAATTCTTTGGAAATATGTAGCCAATTTTCAAGTTAAAAATGTATGTCATTTGAATCTATCATTGGAATGAGCATTTTCTGGTTGCCATCTCAACGGGATAAGTATAATTTGTGTGATTTTCCAACAAAATATTTGACAATTCCAATGACTTTATTCTATTTGCGACTTAATCCATTCAACGTTGGTGATTCATTTGTGGGAGCCTCTTAAAAATTGATTATGTATTACAACTTTTTTGTTGTGCAGTGACATTAAATGAAAAAGTTTTTGGCGATAGCGGAGCGAGTTCGTCATTGTTTGTCTTGTGAGATAAGAGATTAGTTGTGAAGATATGACAGCATGCGTATTAATCAACGATGAAATTTATGGTTGAATAGCGGCAAAAAATCATAGCGGTTACTTACTTGGTTTCGCTTGATCCAGACGGTTTCGACATTGTGTTGGTTTCTATGAGGAAGGAATTGGAAAAAAAAAACAATTTGTTAAAACAAGAAGAAGAAGAAAAAATGTGAACTCCTTTTTACGCTGCTTCTGTATGCGACTACTAAAAACCTATTCATTGCATGGCTTCAGAAAAGACAGCTTCTCATGCGCGTATCTTATGTTCTGGAATGTGATTAAATTGTCTGTTCGCTCTTTTTTCTCCCTACTTCCTAGACTCCTTTTTATCAACACGAACGAAGAAAAAAAAACGAAGATAAAATAAAATGTGCATTGAATTTATCTCGTCCTCCACATAGTGGTTCGGTATTTGGTTTGACCTCGCATACTAAACTGCATTTCCCTTGTTATGTATGATCAACGTCGGTGGCACAAGGCAAAAACAATTGCTTCTACAGAACTCTGCTACCAAATGCAAATAATGAGAATTTAATGTTACTTAAAGTGTGCTCATTTCGAAAATTCATACATTATCCCGCCATAAAATACTTTTCTGACTCTAAAGAATTTCTGAAGCATATTTTCTAGTGCGCAAAACCATTTACTGATCCACACATATGCATAGTGTATAGACAAAATTGATATTTTTTTTTCTTTCTTTTTGTTCATATATCTAGTGTGTTTATCTTGAGCGTTGAAGCTCTTTTAATATAAGTATATGTTATCGCGAAAAGCGACTAATGTGTGTGCATGTTTTATTTTATTTTTATTTTTCCATTTGCAGACATTGTGGTAAAGGAATGCGTCGATTGCATACGAAAGCCGTCTTCAGAACCAAACCAGTTTATTTACAAGGTATTGCACTTTTTCCATCATTTTATCATCATTATTATTGTTATTGCAAATGTTTAAATTGTGTTTATTCCATTTTTACATTAATCATTTTTGTTCAGTCGATTTCTTCGTTGAAATGATAACCGAATCTAAACAAAAGAATGAGTCCATTTGCAAAAGTGCTATCTGCATCAATTAAATGACGATTTGCTTTATCGCTTATCTTGTTTGCCGTATGGCACGACAAATCAATGGAAACGAATCAGCAAATAAAATCAAAATTAGTTTCATACACATAAACAGTGACACCAATCACACTTGTAACAAAAATGGCATTTTTGTCACTATGAGAAGAATAAAAAATTTTTTGGACTGATGACGAATTTTGCTAATGTTTCAATACAGATTACACTCTCTGAATGCTCACTTTCGTTATGAAATGAAAGGGAATTGGTTTCGAGCGGACCAAATCAATTATAAAAACCCAGAAAAAATACAATTCAACGTCAATATGATAAAAAAAAATTCGTTCAAAGCGACAAGAATCATACGACTTTTCATACACATTGACAAATAAACAAAAGTTCTTGCAAAAATGATATTAGTCATCCGTAGCCGTGATGTTAGTGTATGTGTTACCGCTGGAAAAGATGTTGTTGTTGTCGGATTTCGGCGGAACAATGATGACGATATACAGACAAAGCAGTCACAATGAGTTGCCCACATGAACTTAATTATCGCTTAGTCTTTTCTGGACATATTCGACGAAAAATATCGAGACAATCAAACTGATTCATAGAGCTGGAGAAGCCATTTGATTTTAACGCAATGACTGGGGCGGCATTCTCGGTAGTTCTGTGAATTTTTCCACTGAAATGAGCCGTTCGTCTATTGATTGCAATGTGTGAATGCGTTTGACACATGACGCGCCTCATATCAACCAAATGGAAATGATGAAATTTTTGTCAAGTATTTGCAATGTAATCGTTTGAGAAAAAAAATTACTGCACCAAAAATTGACTACACTACTACTACTCAACACTGAGAAATTCCGACGGCTGAGTACCAGATACATTCGTTGTCGACGTATCATTTTATGTCACATCACATAGTGAACAAAAAAGTCTAACACTGGCTTTCTAGTTCAACGTAGAAAAAAAAACAACAACTAACTTGTTGCATTCACAACTGTAAATTCCACAACTCATTATCTACGCAATCTCTATCCCTCCCTATTCCCATACTTAATACTAAATTTGCTCATGTTATTTTGCAATTTGTCACTGTTCAATCCAATGTGACTACTCACTTTAATTTGAATTCTTTTTTTATGTTTCAGAAAATCAAATTTCCTCTATAGATTAGCAGGAACCAATAATATTTGTGTAGTACACTTTCACTGGCTTCGATTACTCTCTGCGGAAGTATTCGATGTTACCGTATTTTTGCTTCTGAATTTTTGTTCCACTATTATAACGAAATTTCGCCACAACGAAATAAAGAAAAACAATTTCGTTGAAATTTTTTTTTTTCGCCTTCAGACAGCAAAGAGTAAATTCTACTGGAGCTGTTTTTAGCTTATGATCAATTGAACGACAAGCAACTTATTAACGCCATTTGCAATATGATGTCTCTTTTTTTCTATCTTTATCTCTGTCTCTCTCACTCTCTCTTCTATATTCACATACTCACATTCCGTGACAGTTCAACTCAGCCGTTCAATTACTTGTGACTTTGCGCTTATGATTCAGTGCTCTTCACTACTCTTTATTCCCGTTCTTTGTTGCTGGTTTTTTTTTCTTTTGCTCGCTTTTGTTTTCACTTACGTCTTCTTGTTGATGAAACTATTTAATATGCGAAAATATCCGAGGAAAAATTCTTCTGATTGAGTATTAAATTCCAATGCTGCTATTTTGTATGGAAAAAAATTGTTTTCCATTGAATTTTGACAAGCGATTTGTTGATGTTTGCGATCTGTCAGTTGACTTTCGGAAAAAATCACTGAAAGCGATCAGCGCCACTTAACTTTTTTTTTTTGTTGAGACACAGCCAACTCATCTTAATGCATAAATTCAGGCGCATTTCGCTTGGTTCAATTTATTGTTCAGAGTTTTCTTTTTGTTAAAATGATTTATTTCTTTTATTTTGATTTTTTACGGCACGTGGAAGATATTTATTTTTATATTTTTACATTTAGTTGAGAGAAAAATTCTCAAAAAATGTCCACGATTTTCACCATTATGATAAATTGCCATTGTTAAACTGAATATAATATTTGGTACATGTAGACAAATTTGACTTGATTTGATGAATATGACGGTATTATAAGATTTGATCGCATATACGCTACGGGAATAAAGAACAAACAAACATTTTAACGATTAAAGAATCTTCAATAGAACATCCAAGAACTGATAGGAGTATTAAAAAGGGTTTTATTGAATACGTCTAAATATATCAATTTAACGAACAATCTGTTATTTTATATTTTGCTATTGTTTTTTTTTATCGTTTAGCTGCAGAAAAATTCTCAGATGCAATTAAATATATGTGCACTTTCTACTGTAGCGTGTCCTAATCATATAAAGTACATTCAACTAAAAATAGTTGGTTGCACAATCAAATGCAATTTGACAATAATACAGAATAAGTAACGTACTTCTTTTCTTTTTTCTACTAAGTGTTTGATTTTTCATCGAGAATATTCAATTTTTCAAACACTTGGTTTAGAAGAAATGGGTTAATATATTATTAAATATTGTAACATTAATTCAAAATTTAATGCCATTGACAAAATATTTTTATGTAGCCATATGCTGATGCCATCGGTACAGAATATAATTCGTGGTTATTTGTACATCATTAGAATATTTACAGTGTTGACCGGACAAAACTTCGGTTTTTGCGAGCAGATGCGTGATTATTGCTGAAAATTTGATATTCTTTGGCAAAGAACATATGAACCGTTGCGACAAACAAATTCCCTTAAAATATTTTAGTTTTAAAGTGCAACATAAAGTTTTTTTCATATGGAGTTGTTGTTGTAAACTCTATATCTATGGGTGAGATTGAGAGTGGAGTATGTTTTTTCTTCGATTTATATTTTTGAAAAGGCGAGTATGTTTTCTGATGATTCTGTTGGCGTTAAAGTAGAGTATGTTGTAGTACCGTCTAGCCTCTGCGGTCTTCATGGTTTTCGCGCAACTGATAAAAGATAACAACATGGTATCTTCGGCAAAGTTGTAGTACTTAAGGTCTTCTATAACTAAGCTAAAGACAGTTATCTCTTATCTCTTATCAGTTGCGCGCAAATCGCGCAATTAAAAAAGCAAAATTTATATAGAACTTTTTTTTTCTTATCATTTTTCGCGCTTTTCGCGGAACTGATAAGAGATAAGAGATAACTGTCTTCAGCAATGTTATAGAAGACCTCGAGTGCTGCCGAAGACACCAAGTTGTTATCTCTTATCAGTTCCGCGGAAACCGTGAAAAACCGCGAGGACCCGCTAAAAACGAACATACTCGCTTTTAACCATTTTTAAGTCGACAGAAACTTGCTCTTCTCTTTCGTAACAAAGTCAATCAAACATACACTACTCTCAATCTCACCCATAGATATAAAAAAAAATTCATGTTGCACTTTGAAACTAAAACATTCAGAGGGAATTTGTTTGTCGCAACGGTTAATATAAGTACACTCTCTCTGCAAATTGTCTGCTGTCAAACTTTGTCCCTTTGTCACACTGACTCTTTCGGATGCAAATACTAATTTAGCGCGAAAGAGATGTTGTTTGCAGTAGATTTGGTTTAGATGTTCACTTCTATCGCAACGAGTGCAAAACATTAATCCAGCAATAAATCGATTTGAAGAGCTAAATAAATGCAAGCATAAAAATGTGTATTGATAACAGTAGTGAAGAAATGAACGTATAATGTGCAGCGTTACCTGAACACATGTAGGCCAATTAAGTGGGGCCAATCCTCCGATTGTTAAGAACAATTGATGCTGAGTATTCATCAGAAATTGAACATACAATTTTTGCTCTCTTATACTCAACAAATGAAAGTCAATGTTCTGTGTGGCATTTTCGGCCACATCGTTCTATCGGACAAAGAAAAAACAATGGTTCGTCATTCGAATCACAAAGAATAAGAAAAAGAAAATACAAACCGTGTCTGCAACAATGTGACCTGAGGAGGAATGTGAACATTCAAGTATTGTAAAGATCTCGAAAATTTTGTGAATATTTTAATACAATACATATTTACCAAAGGTGCAGAATATGAAAATTAAGAAACATACAGCGAACGCGAAAGTGATAGCTGGAACGTAGAATGTCTGAAAGAATTATAAAGTTTATTTTAGAATTTTTTGTTCTAAATTTTTAAGTTTCCGTATATTAACGTTATAAAAAACGAAAAGAGACAATTTTACCGTCATCGCAATGTAGAAGAGTGGAACTGCACTACACATGAGGGTGCTGATTTGAACAAAGCAGATTTTGAAGAAAATTAAATTCATGTCAGACAAGAAGCTGCAATTAAAAAACGAATTTTGTTCTTAATAGCTACCATCATCTTTAAAATACATTGAATAAAACTATATCACACTTACGTTGACATTTCGAGGTGCATGATCAGAATGTTCCGAAATTTATACTTCCAAGCATGAGTATTATCCAGGTCCTCATCCAATGTAACATTCAATTGATCAATTTCATCTTCGATCAAACGAGCAAAAATTGATACGTTTAAAAATATGGTCGCATAAAATGAATCGCAAGCACATAATCCAAGCGATGCCATTAGCATCACGCAAATTTGAATGCAACACAAAATCATATAACCAGTGATAGAATCCTCATCGATGCCTGGCACATAAACTAAAATTAATGGTATCCGTTGGTCTTCATAGTAATAGACATAAGCCGGATATGGGATGCAGATGATCAATGATCCAAAATACAAGATCCAAGACAATTTCATCATTAAATCGGTATAAAATGCAAATCGTTGGAAAAGAGTCAAACGGATTTGTGATTTGGTCTTGATGTGCAGCTTAAACAATTTTTCAATGAATGCTATCATTTTTAGAAAGTCCAGGTGATAACGAGCATTGTATATTTTGAAGACAGCCTGTGAAAAGAATAAGGGTAAATAAAATTGTGATAAGACTATTGATCAGGAGAAAATTTAGATTTTTTTTATAGACGTGATTGAAAATAATGAAAAAAATAAAGTGAAATGTATTCCAAGATGAAATTTCAAGTTTGCGTTCAATTACCTGAATCAAAAGACCGATGTAAAGAACACAATTACATCGAGTGAAATTGTCATAAAAGATCATAGTGTACCCCATGAATCCTGCAAATATTACAAGAATCGCGTATACAACATATGAGTGGATATTACGTTTAAAATTCTCGTCATAAATGTCATGGCCCATCCATGCCAAAAACTTTCGATTCCATCCAAAAGTCGCGTTATAAAATCGTTCGTATGAATCCATTGCGCTTACGAACCGATTGATTCAAACTCAAAGTCAAACACGAATTGAAAGTTAGATAAAATAAAGGAATTAAAAGGAACAATTCAGTAATTTGATGCCAATGAGTGACAGATCAGACTAAAATACAAATCCTAATATGCAAAACCGACAGGAAATTTTTTGTTAAGTTACCAATTTTATCAAAAAACAACGCGAATCGAACAGTACGAGCGAGTCTACTAAACTAGTACAACGAAAAAATGCTTGCATTTTTCCTACATAGTGAAATGAATCCCTCCGATTCGAAGGTTAATTATGCTTAATTTCGTTGTTTTCAATCCATTGTCTGTATCGAGTGTATATTACTAATGCAGATGATTGCCATAATAATCAAAGAATTGTATTCCTTGATCTTGGAACATAAATAAACGTAAACAATATTTGATGAACATCTGCAGATTTTCATGGCCACTTTCATTCGGAACTCTTTTATTAACCATTAGGATGTAGAAATTCCGATAATCTTATGCGTTTACGAAACACTTTCTGTTTTGCATGAAAGCTAACATTTCGTTCGACTATGAATATTATTCATTGAATAATGTTCGAATTTAATTGTAAAATTAGTAATAAAAGAAAAACATACCCGGGTGAACGCGATACGCTTTGATGAAAGCCTACAGTCGTTCGATAAGGCTTTCATAATTTTTATATGCATTTTAAATACTGAACGCCTAGGCTTTCAATGCTACGAATGCACGAAAGAAGTGAGAATAGCAATGAAAGCCTAGGCGTTCAGTATTTAAAATGTATATAAAAATTATGAAAGCCTCATCGAACGACTGTAGGCTTTCATTAAAGCGTATCGCGTTCACCCGGGTATTTTTCGTCAGAAAACCCCATAAATATGCTAGTTTTCTGCGAAATATCTTGAGAAAATGCAATGACTCGCAAAATAAACTGTGATCTCCGAATATCTATTATTTCAACTGAATAAAGTAATTAAGTGTTATGGAAAATATTTTTGTCATTTTTGTTGGACGCTTTGTTGATTTGCATCTAACCGGGAAAATATAGAATATAATTACGTAATGCCAATGCCAGAGTAGATGTTGTAATGTGATTGGCGATGAATAATTTCTAGATCTCTAGTCTACGGACTATGGTTCGTTTACACATATTAAATGAACGTTTAACCGGCGCACACGTACAGCTTTTTGAAATTCAATAATAGGACTAGAATAAGTTACAATTACAAACAACAAACAAAACCATTATCTTTGAATAATTGTTTGTTACTAAAACACCAAATCCACCATTTTTCTTTGTCAGGTGTAAAAAGGCACATCGTTTATTTGTAAAATTAAAGGAATCCAATTCAAATGCTCAAGGATGATTCGAATGGCAGGCTCAAAATTGCTTGCCCGATTATTGCTGTTGATTTCATCAATAACTCTGGTCTCATTGCTGGCCCTCACTCGATGCGGTATCGGTGGTCTTGTTGATAACAACATTTTAATAACCGATGATGGTATAGCTTTGACATTTGATTGTTTGTTTTTTTTCCTATTTGCTTCGATTATTATTTAGTCATAAATGTGTTTTCAATTTTCGCTATTAGATGGTGGTGTTATCCAGCAATCGCATGCCGACACACTCAACCGAGACCAGCAGAATAATTATATGATTTTATTGCAACAGCGTGAAGAGGAAAATCGTCAAGAAATTGCCAAATTGACAGCGGAAATAAAAGCGCTCAAAGTACAACTATTGCAACATCGAAGTAAGTGTGCGAACGATTTATTCTTTGTAGTTAAAACAAAAGCAACACTTCGTTGGTTCTGTCTCTGTGAATCTGTCTGAGCATTTGATTTTTCCCCATAGATAAAAATTCAGTGTCTTTTGAATCACATATCCAAGATATATCATCGTCGTCGCTTCCATCGCAAGCCACACCAGCTGTTACAAATCAGCAGCAGCAACAGCAGCCGCAATCTTCTTCTGTGACAGCCGCATCGGCCTCAATATTGGGCGAATGCACGAATTACATTCGAAAGCAAGTTGGTGCGGCTGAGATTTTGCACGGTCTTCCGTTGAACAATGAATACGAATTGATACCGTTTAATCATTTCACATATAGTCGTGTCTATCCAATTGAATTGGGCTTGGGCAAGCGTGTGGTTGAAAAGCCAATCGGTTTTAAGCGAAAAGATTTGTTGGATGCATTGAATCGTGCACTTGACAGTCTCAATAAGAATGCGACAACACCATCGAATCGTTATACATTGGACGATTTCTCGGAGGGTATTTATCGCATCGATCCAACCACCGGAACTCAATATGAATTATACTTTCGAACAAAGGAAATTCGAAAGTACACATCGACAACTAGCCATCATGAACGGTCCAACAGCCATAACAATGACGGTGTTACCAAATTGACTGTAATGCGACCGTTTGCACCGTTGCAAACGATTCAAGTTGAAACATTCCCGAAACAACGTGAAAAAGAAAAGGAAATCATCCACATAATATTGCCACTGTCGGGACGCACAGCCACGTTCCAAAGCTTCATGGATAAATTCGTGAAAATCGCACTGAAAAATGATCGTCGTGTTCATTTAACGGTCGTTTATTTTGGCGAAGATGGTCTATCAGAAACGCGTTCAATTATGTCACGAGTGCTGGGAACGAAGAACAGCGGCGGTAATTCATCGAATTTAAAATTGTTGGCTCTCAATGAAACGTTTTCAAGAGGTAAGAATCGATGAAATCAATTGACATAGGTGAACATTGTGTGTATGGACCGAGTTGTGGTATCTTCCTCTCGTCCACATACAATATTTTGTAGTATGCCATTGGAATGTTGTATTTTGTTTTGTTTTTGACAGCCAAAGGTCTTCGTGTCGGTGCCGAACGAGTCTCCGATAAAAATAATAAAAGTAAAGACGTTTTATTGTTTATGTGCGACGTTGATGTAGCATTTAGTGCAAAATTCTTAGACCGATGCCGTTGGAATACGAAACCTGGCAAAAAAGTAAGCAACAACATAGAAAGAATCAATAATTTGTTATCCTCGATGTTTGCGTTTGTATGAGTGTAAAAAACAGTTGTGCGACCATTCCCTTTATTTAATTTGTTTTTGGTTTATTTCTTTTCTCTTTCTATTGCGCCATAAACCACCAGGTTTACTATCCAGTTGTATTCAGTTTGTACAATCCCCATGTTGTTTACACACTGCAAGGGAAAGAAGTGCCACCGGAAACCGATCAGTTGTTGATTTCACGTGACACTGGCTTCTGGAGAGATTTTGGCTACGGAATGACATGCCAATATCGGTGAGTATTTTTTGAAACATTTGACTTTAGTATCCGGTGTTTGAGATTGACAGCATATCGAATAAGAGAAAAAAAGAGAAGGGCTACCGAAATAGGGAAGATTAACAATATTGCTATGACTTGAATGAAAAAAAGGGAAATGGTAAAATGTTCTGAGCTTTGAAATGGTTTTTCTCTTTTTCTCCGAATTTTTTTTTTTTTTGATTAGATCTGATTTTATGAAAGTGCGGGATTTTGAGGAGATTGTTGGATGGGGCGGCGAGGATGTTATGCTGTACAGAAAATATGTACGGTCCAATGTAAAGGTGATTCGTGCTACCGATCCGGGCATATTCCATATTTGGCATCCAAAGGTATGTACAGGAATCACGAATGGTCAACGCTTAACGGCCGACCAATACCGTGCTTGCATACGGTCACGGGCACTCAACGAAGCCTCACACGCACAGCTTGGATTTTTAGCGTTTCGTGATGACATCGCCGCCCATTATCAAGATAATAGCGTTGCGAATTCGAAGAATTTCACCAAAGGAAGCATTAATGTGAAAGCATTCCCTTTGAAAACGATTAAAATCAACAATAAATTGAACAATCTGAATAGTTCATCGTCGAACTACAACAATACCAACGGTTACAATCATTCAAAGCAACACAACCGATCGAAAACATTAAATGATGTTAACGGCTTGAAAAATACTTGATCGTACGAGGACCCAGAACTCGGCGAACGATCAATTAAATTAAAGCAACAATCACAATTGCAACCCGAAAGCATTTGGAAAATTGAATTTTAAATGCGCGTTGCCCGGCCATCATGGCCTCCAGATTCAGAAAAGAAAAATTGTGTTTTTTCTATTGATTCTGATTTTACGTTCGAAGACTGAATCCGAGAGAAAATTGGCATTCTTTTTTATCGTAAATGAACAATCATTCATTTGTATTCGCATCATCAAATTCGTTTATAACCTTCAGAAGGTTTCAATAGCGACTTAAATGAGTCTATTTAGTAATTTTGATCCGTTATGAAAATACACAAGTTCTGGCTTTGAAAATGTGAAAAAAATAATTACAACCAAACATGTTTTATTGTGATAGTTTATTAAAATCATTCGTTTAATCAATTTAATGTGAGTAAAACCAAAAAAAAAAAATAAAAACTAAATAAATTGCACCCTTATAGACATATTTTCCAGAGCGTGTTTTGAGCTGACGTTCGCAGCACTAATTAACGTCAGCTGCTGATATCAGCTGCTGACGAGTATGCGTTGTGTTATTTCAATGCATTTGCAATATAAAAACGAAAGGGTAAGCAATCATAACAATGGATCGTTCAATCAATTTTATACTGCAAATGCGTTGGAACAACGCAACGCATACTCGTCAGCAGCTGATTTTAGCAGCTGACGTTAGTTTGTGCTGCTAACGTCAGCTCAAAACACGCTCTGATATTTTCACATAATTTCATTTCGAACAATTGTACATTATAGTCTTTTATGGATAAAAAGAAAATTAACTAAATTTAGAGCCAAATGAAATAAAATAAATTTAATCGATGATGTAAATACGGACTTATAGTAGACAATGTCTACTGAACCCTATCATCATTTTATGGCAAACCGCACACATTATCCCATTTTTAGATTGCGAACGAATCATTGTTGACTGCAATATATAGCTAGATCAGTTAGAAACATTAAATTTTCCATTGGGCCTCTTTTCAATGGATTAGACATTTGATTTTGGCATTGGGTTTTAAACCGATATCGAAATTTGTTCTTATTTTTGACTGATATTTTAGTTGAATTTTGTTTCCTCCTTCTGTCTTCACCATTTTATTTTATTTTATGAAACGTATAGAAATGAAATGTAGTGCGATCTGTAGGGTGTTCTGAGCATAGATTTCCCGTTGTTATTCAATATTTATTATTTTCACAATAGAACGTCAGAAATAAATGCACAAAATCCAAATAAACGAAAGAAATTACAATAAATATTAATCGAAATCGCGACATAACTCATCAAATCTGCGACTGAATTTTCTTCAACCGATTACATTTAAGGAGAATCAATGAAACCAAATGGTAAATTCCAAATATGAACACATTTTTAATATGCATTTAATACATATAAAAACACAACAAAACTTCTATTATGTATCAAACAAAAAAAAGCATAAAATAATAAAATACAATGAAATTTCCACAAAACGTATTTCTATTACTACCAAAACGGAGAATGAATAAAAAAGCTTCTTTTCATGCGTGCGTGCGTGAGTGAACGGTAAGTTCGAAGTGAACTTGATATCATCGCAGAACCAGTAAAACAGGTAAGGACAGAGCCGTAGCTGTTTCGCGTGGGGGGGGGGGCATTTTTTTTCTAAATATAATTTAATTTTTTACACTAATCCAATAATTATAGGTAATTGTTTCATGTGAGGGGTTTAGAGCGAAAATGTAATACAGAAAAGTTGAGCGGAAAAAATATCGATGATGAATGAGCGGAAAAGGGATAGCTATATAGTAAACTGTATAGTAAACTTTAGTGAACTATATAGCTATCTCTTTTCATTTGACATTTTTCCATTCAACATTTCTGTATTACATTTTCGCTCTTAACCCCTCATATCGACCATTCCATACGGAATAAATCAAAATTCACTATTGCGAGTTGAAAACATCACCCGGAGCAAGTCCATTTTTCGACATTCCAAACCAATCAGACGTACTACCTAATATTACTACAGACGTACTGCCTGATTATTTGAACAAGGACACAATTCTTTTAAGATTCAATGCTTTGGAAAATCGTAAAGTACAATTATTTTTTTTTTTACAAATGATCAAATGTTATTCGAAGTTTTTTTTCAAATCGCAAGCAGTTTTGAGTGATTGAAAAACAAAATAAATAAACTGTGAATGCAGTCAAAACTATACACTTTTGTTTTCCATTGTCTTTAATTTTTTTTTCCTTTTTTTCTTTAATTTTTCCTTATGGTATTGCTTTAATATATAAGAAAAACGAGTGGGGCAGTGAAAACACGTGGGGGGGGCAAAGCCCCCTTGCCCCTTAGTTGCTACGGGCCTGGGTAAGGATCTAAGGAAATAAGTAAATGATCGCTAAAGCAAACAAATAGGTATGGGCCGCAATGGGCTCATTATATTTTCATGTATGAATTTCGGAACAGATTGTTAGACAGAGCCATCCTTTGGTGTTTTTTGAATTCTGCAAAGGTCGTTAAATGAATTTATCTATACCAATAAACAAATAAAAAATGACGAATTTTGAAAGTAACTAATAAAAAAAAGGAAAATAAAAATGAAAATATTATTTTGAATATTGGCTTTTATGCACACGTACGTAATTTATTGACATGAATCTTACACTGATGGGATTTCAATTCAACAGTGACAAAAACTGCTTTTGACAAAAATTGCTTCACATTGTTATTTCACATTCATCGATATATTTTTAAAGGTAAGTGTCGAACAGTGTTTCTGGCTTAAATCTATACAAAAATGTTAAATCAATTCGTAGAACCACGTAGAAAAGTGGAAATCGTGTATTATGTGGTGTCCGTTTCGATTCAGAATGTGATTGGTGCGGTGTAATCAAATCCACTGGTTTCTAATTGTGAAAAATGATTATTTGTAATTTGAAGTTCCACGGAACAAACGGTACGCGTGGCAAAAAGGATGCCTCAAATTATCGTGTAGAAATCAAAATACTTTTTGCAGCTGTTCGAATGTTTCAAATAATGCATTTGGATAAAAGATAACAAGTACTAACCGTAAATCACTTTTGTTGCATTTTCCCATTGTATACTATATACACAGTAAACCTTGCGCCAATATGACGGCACACACTGCCTCACTCGCTTTGAATGTTCTATATAGCTTATTGTATGTGAAATCGGCCGAAAAGAATGCTTTCGTTGAAAGCAAATACATTTTCTATTAGAACGTCGAGCAAATGGAATCAAGTCAAAATGTATGCACACAGTTTTCTCAGAAGTGATCAAAAAGTTTTATTCTCATCATATTCACCACATGTTCATAATTTTACAAGCAGCCAACAATGCATTAGCATACTTTATTAGCTCTATTATTTATATTTATTTTTTGGAATTCTATGTAATTTTTCATTTAAATTTCAAGAATTCCGATCAATGTGCATTTTAAGCATCAAGCTAAGCATGAAAAAGCATCGCACAACCAAAATATAAGTTCAGTTGTTTAATCTGTTTGCCATTTTTCGTTTCCTATACTCTCCCATTCATTCGATAAAGGTATATAAAATCATGAGATACGAGTAGATTGTTTTGAGGATCTAAACAGAAACAATGTAAAACGAGAACTTTTTACGTGTTGAAATGCCACAAAAATCACCATTGTTCTACAGAGTGATTATGTTCAAATGAATTCAAATAAAAGCATTACCGAAACACAGGTTGGCATGTTAAGAGGAGCTAAACCTCCGACTCTCAATGCCTTTGCACCTTGCGCATTCATCATCAGAAACATATACTCCATCTGCTCATTGTGAGACATCAGGAACCAGTCTAAATCTATGATAGCATCATAAGCTTGACCATTCTAACGGAAAATGTTCATGGTAATTTTCTCGATCAAATCAAGATTCGAACGAACTTTTTTCCCCATACACTGCAATTCAATAAACAAAACTTACGCAAATTTCAACAACAGCTCCAACGGCCGAAAAGAATATAATTTGACCAAGAAACGCAATAGAAAGCCCAATAGCTGGGAAAAATTGAATCTGTAGACGAAAACGAATCATCCGATTTTATATTTTGAACTGAACTAAAAATCATTTCATCATTTACCTTCAAGCAAATGAACAATTCAATGGCTGCTGAAAATGTAGCGCATGACATTTGGAAGAAGCAAATCCAGAAAATAGCCACGTCCAAAACATCGATTACACTGAAAGAAATTCCAATGAAGAAAAAAAAATTAACGAATTATTGCAAATGGAATTATTTCAATCACAATACTCACTCCCAAAGCTCGCGATGCATGAACAAAATATTCCTGAATCTGCCTCTCACCACCGCCATATTAACATCTTCCTCTCTTAGAGTTTCGTTCAGCTCTCTCACCTCATCCGATAATATATTCGAAAGCACGGGAATATTCACGATTATCATGATAAACATGAAATCCGTACAGCCAGTTGCAATCACAGCCAACACGCCATAAACTAAATGAATCCCTGCTAAAACTATGTAACCTTCCGTCGTATCCTCATCAATATATGGGAAATAGATTGGGAACAATGGTACCAATTTATTGTAAAATACAAACGAGTAGATCGGTTCGATGAGATAGAATCCAGCAGCTAGAGCATATAACAAAAGGCCACCTTTCAATACCAATTCAGTGAAAAATGCATGCCTCTGTATAAGCATTTGTCGTGTACGCGACGGATTTTTTGCATTTTGTTTAAATATTTCGATGAATTGGTCCATCACTTCTACCAATATTTTACCAAATTTAACCGAGTATATTTTAGCTATTAACTGTTCCACAGAAAAGAGACAAATGAAAATGCCATGAATGGCATACGGAAATTGATATGAAAAATAAAAAGTTAGGAGAAAATCACAAGTAAAAATATAAGGATTTTCTATTCACCTCAAAAGCCAAACCAATGAAAGCAGCCACATTTAACTTAACGGTCATATCGTAGTTTAACAAGGTTTTATAAATTCCCAGAGCAAATGTACCAAATATTGCCCACACAATATAAGTCAACGCATATGGTCTGAATTCACCATCGCGAAAAATGTCATGTCCAATTATCATGAAGAGGCGGCGAAGCAAATTATGAAACAAATGATGCATTTTTTGATGGGGTTCCATTTTGATTCAAGACAAAAAAAAGATTTGAAGTCAAAATCACAATTTAAATCAAGAACTAATTCTGAATTAAAAGAGAGCACTTTGAAATTTGAACTTGACCGCTAAAGCACTTGGTTCGTAATTTGCAGAAAAGTTGATGGCTAACTGGATTGGATTGTGTGTATGACTAGTTTATATACATAACATTTGATTAATTGAATCGATCGATATCGAACCAAATTCACTAAAAAGTTGTATTACTTTTTCAACAGCGTTATATTACTTTTGAGTGATTTGCCCTTGTATCGGACGGTTGCCAGTTGTTTACATACAATTTGTTCAGAACTTTTCTATAATCCAAATGGTGTTTTCCCTCTGTTAGTAAAACCAACACGTGTACCGCTGCACATGTTGGGAAATAGTAAAATTTCCCTTAATGCAATTCGAAATATGTGCTTTAATTGTGCAGTTGGATAACGCGATCACAATTCGTGACTAAATTCACTTGTATTACGTGTTTCAAATGAATATTACGGTGAATGTGGCATAAGATGCATTATTGGCCTTTTTCATTCGAATAATGAGTCGCAATTCTGGCCGATGCAATGATTCAAACAGCTGACGTAAAAATAGCGCATGAAAACAGTCAAAAATCACCCGAAAATGTATGTATGGCAAAGCATGTGATTGCGAAAAACGCCCCATTAAAAAAATTGTGAACACCTTCGTAGTGCCACACACAACACGTGAAACTCAACCAAGATTTGAATTAATTCACCGACTACATCTGTTTTTCTTATTGAATTTTTCTCTTGAAAAACGAAAAGTCAGTACGTTTTATTGAATAACGGTGCGTGTCAATTTAAACAAATTCAATTTATCATGCGTGACTAATAGCTTTTGCGGCGCATACGGTATTGTGGGGCTCGGTTTAAGGTCCAATGTCTTGCTTAATGACTCAGCCATCTGTATCGAAATGTAATTTTGGGCGGTTTGTACGTTTGCAATTGATATGGCACATGAATTGAGACAGCATATCACCACTCTGCACACGCTGCCGAATCATCAAACGCAATCGCAAAATTGCGTTTTAAAAAGAGTGTTTTAGGTTTCATTTTTTTGCTTCCCATTTCAATTATTATCAACTACGTTCTTTTGGTTGCTGGCTATTTGTTTTTTCTTCTTCAGCTTTTGCGTTGCTACTCAGCGGCACCAGGTAGTCTAATCGACAACAAAGAGCGGCACATTTGTTTCCGTCTTTATTGAAATGCAGATTTTTTCTCCGTCGAATTCAAATGAACCTGGGTGTGACCGAATTAATAAACAGACATACAATAAATAAGTATTGATAATAATAAGACAAATGGGGCAAATATAAAAAGAGAAGCCGGTTTCCAAATGCGATCGCGCGCTTCACTAATAACGATAAAATAACTGACCAAAATGAGACACTTGAACACACTGAGCGCTCACTCGAATGCTAGCGATTTATTTTAATTTATATGTTTTACCGAAAATTCAATAGAATTGTTTGGTGTTTTTATTTTGACATGGACAAGCTTAGCGTTTGCCGTGGCATGTGACAGCAGAGCAACAGAGCTCGTCATCATTCCAGCTTACACATCAATGGCAAAAAAGCCATTTGTCAAAATCGATAATATGCGCACATTGGATATATTCGATTTTATTTCTCTGCGTTATTCGCCATTACAAATGAATCAACTAAGTGAGACCGACCGACAGAAAGACCGCGAAACCAATGTATTTTCTGGTTTGACCGCTTGGTAGCTAAGAACAAATCCTATGATTTCATTCCGTATTTGTTATGAATAAAAAGTAAATTTGAATCAGCAGACACGACGACGACTAAAGTGGACTTTTGCACATGCCATTAAAATAAAATCGAATTAAAAACTGCCTAAAAAACATTGCGGCGAAACAACTTTATTTACGAAATTTATCAGGGCTGAATGAGATTTTGCATTAATTATTTTTTATTTATTTCTATACACCACTCGCGGTCTAAGGAGGAAACGGACGACGAGCTGACAAAATTGTTATTTTCAAAGAACAAAAAAACGCTTTTTTGGGTACTCACAAACGCATACAAAAAAAAATGTCTGAATGAAAAATGCTTCTCGTTGACGGTGGTACAGTCATCAAAAAGAAGAGCAACGTTTCGTTAACATGCTCTATGCCAGCGAACGAAAGTGTCATTAATTGTCGGAGTAAGTTCACAAAACATTGTTTGAAGAAAAAATGATGAGAATAGCAGCAGCGACGGCAACAACAACAGAAAGAAGAACAAAATGAAGATTAATCAGCAATGAAGCCGAGTGGAAATGTGAACGGCCATCGGCTAGAGCACTTATCCTGCGTTGCGGTGCAGCGATTTTGGCGGAATCGCTTGACTTCCGATAAGGTGTTTGTTCTTTTAAATATTCTTAATTTATATGATTTTTGTTTTCATGCTTGAGCATTTCTCCGTTTATTCTTTTAATGAATCGTTTTCTTTTATTGGCAAGAACAAGACATCATCAGCCCCTTACCGCCAATAAACATTGCAGTTTATCATCGCGGAGCTGTGTTTGTTACAAAGTTCATTGTTTCTACGATCGAGTGATTCTATTTCCTTCTGTTCTACCACAAAAGAAGAATGATGACTCTTAATTGGACGAAAACAAAGTTAATGACATCTAATTATTCGTATAAGAAACAAAAAAGAAAAAATCCGTTACTTTTGACTGAAATCAAAAAAACCATCTGACACAAACTTATTGGCACGCGTCAACGCTGGAACGGTACAGTGGAAAATTTAAATTGTTTATTAAATTACTGTTAAATAGGCAAAAAAATAAGCGCCTGTAATGGCCTTCGTCTTGAGATATTGCATTAACCGAAGAGAAAACCAAAATGATCAACGCAATTTCGAATTGGGTAAACAAACCGAAGAAACAGAAGAAAAAAAAGAGAATAAAATCAGTTCGGTCAAAGGTGCGGTAATGTCGCGTTAGCATATCGAGATTGATCTGTGGGTCAGTTGACGACTACATGCTAAACTACCGTTTCTTTTTTTTCTCTGTTGCCAATTTCATCACTTAACAGTGATGACAGCAGCCGCTTGAATGTTGCGGTCACTTCTATGTTCCAACCAACTTCGACCTACGCACCCAATTGCCGAATCCAATGCGACGAGTGGAACGAATGGCAAGCAACAATGTTAGTTTTGAGAAAATATCTGTGCAAACTAATCTGAATTCCATATCTTGCGAGCTCGTTTTAGTATGCCATTGTACTACAGCTGGCGCAATGCATATGTTAACCCATCACTTTTCCAACAGATTGTCTTTTATGCAACGCAATCAAAACGATACGAACATTCTGTATCTAACATTGGATTATTCTTTCGCACACATCCATCATCGCACACACACTGTAAAAATAAGTACCCGAAAAAGACACCGGGAAAACAAAATCAAATGAAAAAAAAAACGGTTGATCGTAACAAAATGGCTAGCATAAATTGATGAGAAAGAGAGAAAACATAAATACACACCAGCCATGGTAAATAAAATGAAATGATTCAATAAGAAATTGCTAATGTAACACTAAATTTTCAGACAATTTAATTCATGTCAAGGTCTTTTAGCCACTGGACAGGCCGAATGCAGAAATGAAAATGAAATCCACATCTAAGCGCAAAATACGGTCGCACGCATATAAAAAAACAATGCTGAAAATAAAAAACGAAACGCAGCTAAAACAAACAAACAAAACGAATACAAAAAAAAAATACCATCTGAAAAATGGTATTCGGTGCGATAGATTGGATGGACGGCAAAACGGGCGAAAGAGAAAAATGGCATCGAAACGTCGCAATATTAGAATTCAACTCAATTTTGAAATGGCATTTACAAATGCCGTTCGCCGGTATCTTGGCGATTTGTTGAATTGTTTTTGTCGTTGGTGTATGATGTGTATTTTTTTTTTTTGGTTGTTCGAAGCATTCCTCTAATTTCTTTGGCATTTTCATTCTCTGGGAGAGGTTTTTGTTCGGTTAGTCGGTCGGTCGGTCGGTTCATTCGTCGTTCGTTGCTTTCTATTATGCAATGAGGCTGGCTTTTTCCCAGATTTATTGTCATCATTGTGCGCGCCAAAGTGTTTCGAGATGCAGCAAAAATGTATGCTATGTGAACTGTACATATGCGTTGGAGATTTGTTGCTCTTCAAACAGCGTAAACTTAGATGACCGCCGCTGACAAAAACGTTGCCCCAGCAATACATAATTTTCGATGATTCATTGTCTTGTTGTAACTGACACAGACGAAGCGACACACTCAGCCCAAGTCCAGCAACACAAGCGCGGGCCATCCGCAAGAACTTCGAACGAGAGGGAAGCCAACCGAAAGAACAGAGAAAAAAAAGAACCGATACAGAATCAACAATTAAATAAAACCGTTTCAATTAATTTCCGGCCAAAATGGCTTATGACCACATGCCCTATCTGTGTACATAGTACACGATCATGTAATTACACTGCGGTACACACAGGTGAATTGATATCCCATCCAATTAAATGTGTGTAGCGCACACGATTCGCTCGGTAGACGATTGTGTTTTGGCCAATTCTTTTCAACCTAAGGTCAACATTTTGGAAACAAAATCGCACAGAGAATTTTCAAACAACAACAACAACAACCGAACAAATGCCGACTGGTTTTCATTCATTTTGTCGCTCGGCCGAAAATTCTCTATCTTAAATAGATCTGTATAGTGAAAATTCTTGTTGTCCATATAAATGAGCGAAAAAAAAAACAAAGCCGCATTTCTGAAATATTACACGATCGACAAAATATGACATAACAAATGAAATAATACCAATTATTGTGATACGTGTAAAATCAAAAGCGTAGCAGGGATATCAAAATCATCGATGCTGAAAGTTGAAATTAGACGCAGAAGAAAATGAAGCTAGACCAAAAACCATTCGCATCATCCAAACACAACACATTGAAAATGTCTCGCTCAACATTTATTCAATTAGTTGATACGATTATTGGTTGTAGTCGATTTCATGCTACTGAAGATAGTAATCAAAATAAGCAAATCGATGCTCTGGTGGTTCGTTCGAGTTCATGTGAGACAGATATGAGACGCACATTTGTCAACCGGCGCAAATTAAACCAACCGTATGAACAGCAAATTGGTGTGTCGGATGCGTATTTTAGTACTACACATAGGTGAAACGGCAATTCCGAATGAATGGGCGAGAATGCGAAGTTGACTACATTTTTCGTAACGTGTATATGATGAATTTGCTAACCCATATTGTCACCAACAGCAACAGCCAACACTCTTCAGCGCAGAATGAACAGCCCAACGAGACGAGGAAAACAAAATCAAACGTAATCAAACGCGTTGTTCCAACAACAACATCAACCATATTAGAATGGAAATGAAAACAAAAAGCTGTTTTTGTTAAAAAAAAAAAAGAAAAAATCCCAAACAACTACAATGAAGCGATGGCAAATTATAGTTTTGCTCTTACTCTGACTCAAACTCCAGCACTGAGTGTGAACAGTGTGTGTATGCAACATTTACAGAAAAAAAAAACATTCAACGGCTGGGCACCTGCCACTGCCACTGGAGCGAAGAGGAAAGAACGATACACGATGGCCTAGTGTAAAGGTATGTGATGCTGCACAGAGAGCTATATCCACACTTCGAAACAAACAACGGCAACAACAACAACAACAACAACAACAACAATACGAAAAATTGTTTAATCGAATCAACGAAAAATGTTATAAAAGTCATGAGTGAGAACATTTTTATTTCACTTTTGTTTGGATACTCACATATATCGAATCGCGCACAGCAGCTCCTCATTTCATTTACCGCCAATTCAACTCGCATGAGATCGGTTTAATTTTTCTTTCATTTCGTGGTTGTTATTATTGTTTAATGCGATTAAGAACCGCATCATTTTATCAGAATGAACGACGGTCGGAATTGTTAGGCATTTCCATTTCAGTGCTATTCCATAAGCAATGAAAAAGACATAATAATTGTTGGTGTAATTTTGCGGAAAATTTAATTGTGTATGTGATTAAAGTGTAAGAGAACGAAGGATTCGAAAATTACTCCAAAAACGCATATAATCTTTTGGATTCGCCGTAGTGCTGGGAATAAAATATAGAAACAGTGTAATCATTCGATTGGTAGAAATAACATAGAACAATTGGTTGTGCAAGTTGAAGAATGAACCTGAAAATGACGGAAAAAGTTCTTGTTAAGGTATGAATCCATATTGATTTTTTTTAGCGAAAATGCCTCTATGTCATTTACTTTATCGTCGTATTTTTAAGTTCAGTTGTCCGGTTAATACATTTTTATTGTTAAATCCCTGAACTGAGAACAGTATATCTTCCTGGTGGTGAGCAGATTTGTATCGCATATTATTTATTATACAACTATTGAGTTAAAGTTATACTCAACGAAACTGAAAATGTGTAAAAAAATATATACTGAAATATGACTGCATCAGAATTTCAATTTACCCATTGCCACTAGAGTGACAACTTTGAATATTTGAAGTTTTCAAATGAAAGTTGTCAGCAATTTCTCGTTATTTGCTTAAACTTATGCTGATTTTGGCACGAAGAATTGTAACTAAGTTTCCAGTTCAAAATTGAATGTCAAATGTATTTAGAAATTGAAAGAGAGAGAGAGAGAGAGAGAGAGAGAGAAAGTATGGATCTTGGCATACCCTCTCTCATGCACACTTCATGAGAACAATGACAACAATGCGAAAGCACACATATGTCGGTCACTCTTTCCGACAAACTAAACACATAACTTTCGCAGATTCAATTATTTTATTTTGAATAGATTTTCACACTAGTTGTTCGTTTAAAAAGTTCTTTTACGGTCATTTGCTGCTCGCATCGCTTCTTTTTTTCTCTCGCTTCTTCGAAACGTATTGCTTTTGTCGTATAACATGGTTATTTTCGACAAGTTCAGTAATCATTTTAAGTGGAGAGAATAAGTTGAATTATCTATTCCACTACGCTACACTTTCTTCAAGTCAAATGCCCGGAAAATGATCAGGTTCTTGAAAGAAAAAGAAAACCGAATCGTTTGTTCTCCGACAAAAACAAAACAAAAACGAATATATACAATTTATACCTTAGCTTTATACCTTAGCAGATTGATTTGCATTAAATTATGGCGTTTTAATATTATGTGGAAAAAAAATTTGATTGTAAATAATTACCGAAAATTGGAAAATTAGTGCTAACGTGCAATTATTTGAAACTAACAAAAAATAATCATATTCATGAGGCAGATTTGCATGCGCCGCGAGAGACTTGAATTCATCTATTATGCCAATTGAAGAAGAAATGAAAAAAAAGAGTAAACAACCACCTGAATTTTCGAAGTGGCCAATTTCACGTCTTGTGCGATTCTATTTATAGTTTCATATATTGTTTTTGGACCGTTTCTTTTTTTCCCTTTCGCATCGCAACTGATGCACATTCAAAAGAGTTGATAAATCCAAACGATACCACATTAATTGATTATTAACAGTATACAAACAGTATCGTAATGTGTACGGCATTTAAATAATTAAAAACGTGTAAAAATGATCGAGCACAATGATAGAGCACTTGGGCTGATGAGGCAGAGTAGAATGGACCGAATGCGATGTGGGCTGAGATTTTTCGTTTTGTTTTTTTGCAATGACAAACAACACGCGCACTGGTGTAAGTTCCAACGGAAGTCATATTCCCGTGATCACCATCTGTATTCAAAGCTAACCGAACACACAGCCGAAACGAGAAAAAAAAATTGCTACGATAAAATCCATTATTTTATCGAGCAAAATGTATTTTAATACGTTTCATTTAATCATTTTCATGGCGTGTATGAATTTCCACCAGTATTCGGATTCGCATTCTCTCTCTCTGTTTCTCTTCCTCCCTTTCGATTTCGCATGTGTCGTATTGGTGAGACTCGAGGCGGAAGTTGCATTGCAAAACGATTTATTACTAGGAAATAAAAATTTGGGCAATATGGTGTTTACAATATTGCGGCTATGTAGCCCCATATATAATTCATTCAGTTTTCGCGTAATAGCTCATCGCAAATTATGCATTACACGTTAATTACCTATTCTGGCAGATGACGGTGAAGACTATTTTTTTAAATTTAATTAAATACGTATCTGGATGGTGAATTTTTTTTCTGAGTGACACTGTCCATTTCGAACGTGATCCATTCGATGAATAGTTGCGAGTAGTCGATTTTCAAGCATTTTTTTTCATCTTTGTGAATATGCATTATATTTATTCCGCGAAAAAATTCAGCTTGCACAAGTTGAAATTCTCGGGCTAACCAGAAAAATGATGCACCATTGCCGAAATGCCGATGGGAAAAAAGGTTAAAGCAACGAAAACGATGTAATTATTTCAGCCCATTAACATCGATAGTGGGTACGCAGACACTGATGGAAAAATTTAGTGGAACTTTGCGCCTTTCGGCTCATTATTTTTAATGATTCGGATTATGTGTTGACATCCCATTCAATGGCCAGTCATTTCGATGCACTTTATATCATGGCTTTTCCTAAAGGCTGTCTACCATGGACAGTTCACAATGACAAAAAAAATTCCCACTAAAATGCATTATTTTTTTTTCTACCATAATTCTCCAAACGCATCATTTTGTCACGATATTTTTTTGTCACTGTTGGTATGCAGTCTCTCAGTGGCGTCCAAACTCGAATAAAAAAAACCATGCAAACACGCAACACAAACACAAAATATTGGAATTCTTTATTGATAATGACACGGATAGTAAAAATGGGTTGGCCTGTTAGCCGCTGCGATTAATTGCACACTGCACACATATGTTTCAGGTTGCACGATGATTTTATTTAAGCTGCAACACGAACCATTGATAAAGTTGCATGCAAATTCATTTAATTTGGTAAAAATGTCCATGTACGTCTCTGTGTTGCGTAAAAGGTACATACACTTCCTAAGGCATCATTTTTTCCCTTTATTTTTTGTGTTTGCCACAAACAAAATGCGTTTTTTTTTAAATAAAAACTTTAACATCAAACTTCGATTTCCTAGTTTTTTATTTCAAACAATTTTTGTTGTTGTTGTTGTTGTATTTTTTAAGTCCACCAAGTTTCAACCAATTTAAACCATTTTTGTCCAGTTATTTTTCGCATGTAACAATTTATGCCGCCGGCATGGAATGAGCGAGAAAAACATTAAACGAAAGAGAGTTCACGCTACGGATAAGCTAGCACATGTATAAATATTTATATTCACTGTTATTTCGTGCTTTGCTGTTTCACCTGATGGAGACCGAGTGAAAATGTCGCTACAAACGCTATTAGACACGTTAATGATGATGAACGGCCCACACTGTAGCCATTACAAAATGCTGCTGCATCAAAATTGAAGACAATCATTAATAATAATTACACTTGAAAACACACACACAATTTGTTTGACGATGACATTATCAGTATTTCAACCTTAATAAAAGTATCAGCTGTAGCATCAATAAAATGCTATCATTAGCCCATTGAATAAAGATTTTTTGAAATAAAAATAAAGAAAATTTGAAATAAGAATGTGGTTATCAGCATTTGGCGATCACAGAGCCGGGTTAATTTCCCAAATAAACGATCGCATATACAGCAAATTGTTCAGTTGGTTGTATTTTTCATAATTTTGCTAACTATTCGGACGACTGAAATTCATAATAGCATTATGGAAAAAATCTTGATAACATAACTGATGATATCTATGGGTGAGATTGAGAGTAGAGTATGTTTCATTGACTTTGTTACTAAAGAGAAGAGCAAGTTTCTGTCGACTTAAAAATGGTTAAAAGCGAGTATGTTCGTTTTTAGCGGGTTCTCGCGGCTTTTCACGGTTTCCGCGGAACTGATAAGAGATAACAACTTGGTGTCTTCGGCAAAGTTGTAGCACTTGAGGTCTTCTATAGCATTGCTGAAGTCAATTATCTCTTATCTCTTATCAAATCCGCAAAAAGCGCGAAAAATGATAAGAAAAAAAAGTTCTATATAAAATTTGCTTTTTTATGTGCGCGATTTGCGCGCAACTGATAAGAGATAAGAGATAATTGTCTTCAGCTTAGTTATAGAAGACCTCGAGTACTACAACTTTGCCGAAGACACCATGTTGTTATCTTTTATCAGTTGTGCGAAAACCATGAAGACCGCAGAGGCTAGACGGTACTACAACATACTCTACTTTAACGCCAACAGAATCATCAGAAATCATACTCGCCTTTTCAAAAATATAAACCGAAGAAAAAACATACTCCACTCTCAATCTCACCCATAGATATATCTGATTTGAATCTCCTACATTTTAAAAATACACATGAATTAGCCTTGAACTCGGACCGTTCAATCACTTGTCATTTTGGACGCCTTTCAACTTCAATTCACTTTTAGGGTATGAAGTTTCTGCTCTTCTAAATTTTATAGAATCGAGGAGTAGATCGAGAAGATGACCAAAAATAATAATTATTTGATGTGGTACTTCTGAAGACAATCCAAATGAGACACATTTTCGATTGTAGCTTCGGTTGCATGAAACAAAATACCATACTGTGTAAACGTGCCAACGTGCACATAATGTGCATACGATGCAACGACAAAAACCCATATTGAAGTATAAAATTACAATATAAACATTACTTTCGAGTCGCTGCATAATGTGTCTTGTGTTATTCGAATTTTGAATCAACTGCTCCCATGGCTACATCCCATTTCCATGTATTTCACATTTCACGACGAAACTGATACCACTTCTTCAACACACATACACACAAACACACACACACGTACAGAATATTCCGCATCGTAAGCTTGTTTTCGATATGCACTCCGGTTCTCGTGTGTGTTGTATGTGTATTTAAAAAAATGAGTTGTTTCTGTTTTCTCCTCTCGCGTTTGCTTCCCTGACTTCTGTCTGTATGATACAGATCTCGTTGTTGTATTAAGGTAAATTTCTCTCTATCCTACTTAATTATTATGTTGAATAGAACTTTATCTTTTCGGCGTTAATTTACCGGTAAATTCAGTGTTGCTCTCCATTGTAGGCAAGATCAAAGGGTGTCTTTCACGTTCTTTGGTCGCTCAATTTTCTCTTTACCATCTTCGTTTGTAGATGTGATCTTGGTTGTGTGTTGTTTAGAATAAAAGAATCAACAACATTCTGCTTTCTTGTTGGCAAACAAACCAATTGTAACAAATCGACCAAACAAAAAGAAGAATGAATTAATAATTAGATATTGAATAATGAAAAATAGCATGTAATAGCATATTGTTTCAAGCATAGTTAAACTGCAATTGCAGAAACCACTACATCAACGATCAGCAATGCAATAAACTCACAAAATTGACTAAAACAACTTTTGTTCATAGCCATAAAAGGAAAGTTTATGAATATTTCACAATGGTTGCATTGGACAATTCATGGGAAATTTGTGGTTCAATTGTTGTTGGTGACATAAGTAAACTTTCAATCGATAATAATATTCTGTGAAAGAAAATGAAATATATAGATTTAAGAATTCCATGTGTTTATGATAATTTTCAAGGTGCGAATTAATATTGAAAACTGGGTTTAAGTGCGTTTCAGTATCAAGAAAATATTTCCAATAGATTATGAGTTGTTTTCAGTACTTTTCGGTCAATTCAGTAGTTTCAGTATGCCAAAAAAAACTCCCATTGGTCAAAATTCACGCAATCAAAATGTCTTTCAACTCTTTCAAAATGAAATCCATATAACACACACACACACGACTGAGTCAGTAAAACTGACAAGCACCTTGAACCAAACAAATTCCACCGGTTAATCATTTCAGAATAAACTATTCGAATACATTTTATTCGAAACATATTCCAAGAAAACATGAACGCGGAAAATTTTCTTTATTTCAAAAATACAGTTGTGTTCTTCTCAACTCTTGTTCTCCGGTTTGAAAAGGGTATACTAGTACAACAACTGATCCCATTGTGTCGGATACGAGTGGATAGAACATAAAACAGAAAAACGAACGGATGTACTAAGCTGTCTGCATGTGATAGTAATCTTAGGTCATTTGTTAGAAGGCATTCATATCAAGTCGGCTTAAATGATGGACACTCTCAGGTGGTATGAAGTAGCACGATTCTTTGTATTCAATTGCTATTGGCAATTTTGAATCATCGTTAATCTGATTAACCGCTTCATATTCTTTCTATTCAATTTCATTCATATTTACTGGCTATTGCGCGTCCAGTAGTATCAAAAGTACGTGCTTTAAACATGTTCAAACGGTCATTTGGTGGCGTCGAAATGTGCAAGCTAAAATCATTTCCAATGATAAGTGAAACCGCCTAAAATTGAACTAGGCCATAGAAAAAAGCAAATGAATTAGAAAATTTGTGTTCGAATGCCGAAGCAAAAAGTTATAATTATGTCCATAACCAGAGCATATCATGAGTATGACACATTTCATTCAATTGATAACAGAGTACCGAGAATTCGTTCTTTGTTTGCGATGTGTTGTGTCGCAAATCCATCTGTAGTTTGCAAAACGAAAAAAATGGGCGCATTTTGAATATTCAAAAGTGATAATTTTTAATGATGGTCTGGGAGACGAATCTCTGTATCTGAATCGGTTCTTGTAATCGTTTATTCGATGTGAACCTGATGAATATGTTTGGCTGAAAATGTTAACAACAAACAATCGCTCAAGAGGCTAATGACTTTCGCGCTAGGGGCTTCTATGTCGCTTTAGTATTCGAATTGTTATTCACAAATTCGCGCTCAGTGCCATGCATTTGCAACGCTGCCATATGATTTCTATGTAAACATTCGCACTCGCATTCGTATAGCAGTCGTATTTCACTGTTCTCGAACGTTCTCACGAATGCGAGTGCGAATGTTTACATAGAAATCATACGGCAGCGTTGCGAATGCATGCACAAACACGAATGAACGAATGAATTATGTAGTCACAAGTTCGCTGTCATAGCCGCATTCGTCGCATTCGCAAACATTCGAATTCTTGTTCTGAAATGCGAATGCATTCGCAGCATTCGCGAGAGATAAATCCCCTTAGCTTTCGCGTCACATCATATTTGAATCGGTTAGAATAATCTTGACCCCCCAATTTTTCGTGAAATAAAACCGTAACATAAAGTTGGAGTTAAAATAGTGGAGCAACATAGAAAGCGTTTAAAATAAAAATGCAACATGTTCGAAGTGAAAATAATAGTGAAAGATAGCTATGTTTCACTATTATTTTCACTCTGTGCATGATTCATTTTTATTTATTTCAAACGCTTTCTATGTTTCTCTACTATTTTAAACCAAGTTTATGTTACGGTTTTATTTTACGAAAAATTGGGGGGTCAAGATTATTCTAACCGATTCATTTGTTCAGATGGAGGAAATGGAGAGAAAAAAAAGTGTACTGAACACCAACATCCAAGATAATATTTTCCGATTTAATTCTGTTCATCATTATTCTCGACATTATTCCGTTAGAATTTCGTGTCGATGACAGCGCTTCGGACAAACAGATATTCGTATTATTATTTTTCACCAAATTAATGATAGCAACCGCTCCGGAACACGCATCAAATCTACCGTGAATGGATTTCATTAAGATAAAACTTGGACAATCAAATAAACGGTATTTTGACGCTTTGAAAATGACTTATTTAACGTTTCGATTATCAAAAAAAACAGTTAAAAATATTGAACTCTCAGAAGTGCATGCACACATCACTTCACTGGCGCGAAACCCATAACGAATATATGTGCGCAAGAGAAAAAAAGAAGAAACATAACATAAGATAACAATCGATTGACGAGCACAGAAAAAAAGAGTGAACGAAGAGTGAAAATAACAATGCTAGCATTTGGTTGAATGGAACTTTGCATGGTTAACAATGCGTGTCAGCCAGTAGATACGCTGTTAGCCGCGCACACATACATATTTCATGTTAAAATATTTGCCGGGATTGAAAAAAAAACACCTGAAAAAAAAAACTCTCATAGTAACGAGGTAACGATGCCGTATTGTACCGAAATGCATTGTGATATTCTGTGTGTTCCGCTTGCGTTTACCAACTCAATCGGTTCGTTTCGCCTTTCTCTCTCTTTTTCATTCCGATGCTGCTATACCTGCCACCGTATTCGTCTCTCAATTGTTGATATTGCAAAATTAAGCGTCTCTTCTCTCCATTGTGCGAAATTACTTAATAACAGCAACACCTTGCTGACTTGTGACTTTGGCATGGGCAAAAATTTCTGCATTTAAATCAATCTGACGCATAAATCACCCGAAAAACTCAAAGAGCTTAAGAGTTTTATGTGCTGGAACCGTGCGGAGAGAGTTTTTTTTTCGCTTCTAACGAATGAAGATCATGAGAAAATCTAATGATTTATGATGCGATAAGCGGCCACTTAGCATTTTTTAGTTATTTAAAATATTGTACGTCTTTGCAGTTGGTGGGATTGTGGTTTGCGTTATCGGTTGGTACCTTAGCAGCTACAGTCAGCCCGTCGACATCACCCGCTGAAAATACCAAATTGACGCCAGCCTCTTCATCACTGGGCCCGATTTATCGCGAAGCACGTGACTACAATGCGCACGAATCTGGCGTCGGCGGCGGCGGTGGCGGTAGTGGTGGTTACAACTATCGACCATATGATCGACCTCAACAGAGCAGATGCATCAGTTGCTTATATGCGGCAATGACTGGCAATCAAGATAGAGACAGGTAAATATTATGCTAATGCCCAATTGAACTTTGTTGTTTGTGTAGTCGTAATGTTCCCCTTGAAATGAAATTCACCAACATAGCAAAAAGTATTAAAAAAAAAATTATTTTAAAAAGAAAACATTCCATCGTCACACATCGAAAAGGGTTTGCAAACCAATTCATTAATCACAACACGACACATAATTCATAAGCGATTTGCAATCCATTCAATTTGATGATACACATCAAATGCCATTTTGTTTTGTTGTGGTCATTTGAATTGAATGCCTTGTTTCGTAAGTGGTGTGCCAATTTGATGCCGCTACCGACCCATTTTTTTTCTCTATTTGTTTATTTGTTCGGTGAATGCATCGGTTTTTTGCGTTCATGGTGTTTTTAACAAATTCCACAGCATCTGTGCTAACAATTATTGGCTCCATTTTCTACTCTGGTTTTTTTTCTTTGTTTTTGCGACATCTTTTTCAGGTATTATGACCAATTTTATTATAATTATAGACCGGGCTATCCATCACATGGTGGTGGTGGTGGCTATGGAATGTCAGGTGGTGGCTATGGAATGTCAGGTGGTGGCTATGGAATGTCAGGTGGTGGTGGTGGCTACGGATCGCAACGTGAAAACGAAGATCGAAATTGGTACTATCAACCAGATGACCGCAACCGGAATTCACAATATGAAAATCGGTACAGTTTTTAGTGGCTTTTATTTAAGAATTCATAGACTTTGAATTTTTTTTAAATTATGTGTATGGATCATAGATACTATCAACAACAAAACCGTAATGATTATCGGCCTGGATCAGGATCAGGAGGATATGATCGCAATGACTACAGACAAAATTATCAAGATTATCGAGGAAATGGATACGACAATCGCGATCCAGCCTATTTCAATGCAATGAGAGGAAGTGGAGCAGGAGGAGTAGGAGGAGCAGGAGGAGCAGCAGCATCAGGTGGCAATCGTGGTTATGCTAATCGTGATGGTTCATATGAATCATACTATGATGGTAACAAAACACTCAATTGAAAATTTGAGACATTTTAACTCATGTGACTAAACCATTTTCAGATCGAATGTCAAACCGAGGATATAGTACCAGTGCGGGAGGATATGGACCTCAAAATTATTACATGCGGCCCAGCTATCCCAACAATGGCTACGACCAAGACCGGTATTATGCACAAGGCCGACCATACGATAGACCCGAACGACCTGAACGACCCGAACGACCCGAATACTACGATCGAAACACGGGCTATGGTGGAGGATACGGAAGCAGTGGCGGCTATGGTGGTCACAGAGGTGGAAGTAGCAGTGCCTACGGAAACGATGAAATAAGCTTTCGTCCATGGGATCAAACTTACCGGTACGTTTGTGTTAGATTTTCATCAAGTATTTGAGTATGAGTGTGTTTTGAATAATTCAAATCAATCTTGTTACAAACTCCACCCGTTTCAATGGTACGTGAGTGTATTGACAAAAAAGCAGGAAGAAATATCAGCTTCGCCAAATAATAACTTCGTTATCGACATGTTGCGAATGGCCATAATTTAATTTGCTCCTTATTGATATACTACATACATAAATATATGTTTATGTACAGATTGTGCACATAAAAAATGTGTGAATCCTGAACTGGTGCCATAATTCCTAAATCAGTATTCGCTCCGACCTTCCCAAGAATATGTATATATTACGAATCTGTTAAAAAAAAACTTCCATCGAATAAAACCCAAATGAAAAAAAAAGATCCGGCGGGTACGAGAATGTTAAATGTGAAATGCAATTGTGATTGCTCGAATTTATAATTGCTGTTTGAATTGTTTTTCTCGTGAATTTACAAAAATTCCTTACAATTTCGAATTGTTTTTCGCATGAAGCAGCTAACTCATCGTCGGCCTCGAATATAAATTGGTGCAATGAAAATTCTCGGAATGCCATTTGTTTTTGTTCGGATTTGTGTTTGGCTGGTGGGAAACATCATAACTTTTTCACGCCAATTATTTTGCACTCTTCGTATATGTGTTTGGCCTATGCTCCTACATTATTGATTATGAGAAGTGTATTGCATGGTTGCAGCCCGAAATTCTGGCACTCATACGCATATACTCGCAGAGTGGCACCATAAACTAACTGAACAATTACAAAGAAAGTTTTTCCACGACATGAAACGTGTATTTGTTGGTTTGTTTGCCCACTTCCCGTTTTTTTTCCACGCCAATTTCATTCAACAAAGGCATTGAAGCCGCAGTTCGCCATTCTCAGCTGTAATGGATGTGAAATTGATTTTATTTCGTTCTTTTGTGCCGTTGAACGTTGACTTTTTTCCCGCTTTTCCTCTCATTTTGTTTTCTTCTTGAAATTGAAGAGTGGCACGATGTTGGCCTCGGCTTGTTACACTCTGAACTCTTCACAATTTATGTATTAATACATACATACATATATATATATCGCGGATCGCAATCGATGGAAAAGCAATAACAGTTAACGAGAACGAAATGGAGAACAAGGGAGAGAGTGAGAGAGAGAGAAAGAGCAATAGAGAGAAGGGCACGTTACATAGCAATGAAACAGTCATCATTGAGGACATACAACCGTGGGAAGCTTTTGTTTGTCGTTTTATTGATGTGATAAATACGAATGGAGTGGAAGCAATTTCGCCTTTTTTTACCACTCACTGTACAATATATATATTTCTTAACGTTGCATTATTGTCCTGCTTGTTAATTATTATTAGCAATGATTATGAGCGATTTTTCAACGATATCGGTAAAGTTACAGCGAAATGAGAATTAAATTGGTTTTATGTTCGACTCTTGTGCCCCGCCACTCACCCTACTCGACTCGATTTTTCATTTGGCGTTTGCTATATGTTCGAAGCCAGTTAAATAAGAACAGCAATTAATGGCATTTTATATGGTCGATTCGCATTATGGGTGCGTACAAAAAAAGGATGCTGAAAATGTTTAAATGTTGTAACCGTTTATTTGTCTTTTTGTTTGAAATTGTCATTAAGTAACATTGTAAAGCATGCCAAGCAACATTGAATGTCGAGAACCATTGACTCTCGTCAAAAATCATGAAATGAATTCCACTCGGAGCGAATCCAATGTCAACTGAGTGGTACTCAGTGAGTGCTATATACTGCTCTAAACCAAACATTCAATAAATAGAACTGAAAGTCGATGAATGGTGTCACTTTGAACGATTCATCAACCAATTTTGAGTTATCCTACTGCGATAAATAGCAAACTAAGTCTCTTTTAGAATACTTTCGACTACTTAATATCTAACTCAAAATACAACTCAAATTAATAGCGATTTAGCAAATGATACAATTTATCATAAAATCTCATTTATAAATTTTCTTTTCATATCATCGTGTTTGTGTGTCTCTCTGGTTGTGTTTGTGTGTGTGTGTTTCTATTTGTGCCTGGTTTTTCGTTTGCCATTTGCACTTGTTTGATTACGCGCACATGCTTTTTTCCTGGAAATTGAATCAAAAAACACGCTTCAAACACGATGTTGGCGATCAACAGAGGTGTGTCTGGCTTTGATAGCTTAGGTCATGGACATTATTTTGCCAGTTATCCAAATAGTCACAATAGTGGTGCACAACCGTCGTTACCACAAAACAATCCTCATCAACAAGCACCTCCACGTCCATTTCAACATCAAAGCGGTCATCATGAATCGTCCGGTCAATCGCATCATTCGCAACACAATTCGTACGATTCCGATTCGTTAGGCGGTCATGGTAGCAGCAGCAGCAGCGGTAGCAGCGGCAACAGTAACAAGGGATCTTATGGTGGAAATTGGAACTACATCAATTCTAACGATCGAAACAGTGTGCACGGCCAAGGCCATCAAGGTTACAACAGTCAGTCACAAGATAAGGACACACCACAGAGGTAAGTATCGCTTGTTTGTTTGCTTGCTCCTTAAATTTGTACTGTTTTTCTTTTCTTTCGATTCCATTTCTATTGCACATGTTTTTTTCGGGGATTCTTTTTCACCATTTTTTGTTTTCTATATTATCTATCGGTTTTCAGAATTTTCCATTTGAATCCCACATCTTGTGAATACTACTCACCTTTCTTACTGTTCTAATTCCCAATTTTTACTCCGCATCCGACATATCTTTGTTTTAATTAAATGATTTTACCTGCTTTAAATCGCAAAATTGCTAATCCCACCTCATGAACGATTTATTTTGATGGTACATACGAAATCTCAACAACAACAGGCAAAATGATATAAATAAATTATGTATATATATCAAACAATGGAATTAAATGGAAACGCACGGAATGGCTCATATGTTGAGCATTAGATTAAGTCAACCATGAAAAACGTGTGTATTCATGTTATAATTGGACTTAAAATCAACGATTCAGTTTCAGACGCATTTACGTCTCAACCAAAAACACAATCACAAACAATTTCCACCGGTTTGTTTAAGCTAAACACGTTCGGTTGCAATGCATCCAATAAATAGAATACCGAAACACCATTTATGTGTTAGCCGAATGGCTCATTTTGTGCATTTCAAATGCCATGCATTTGAAGGATTTAAAGCAACGAAAACAGTGTGGTTTTTCTCTACCCCTGTCCATCTTTCTTATACACGAACACACACAATAATCAGAAAACGAACGCTCAGGTTATGGCTCAATCGCGATTTATTCCGAGATACCAGCAAAACAAGATTGTTATTTTATTTATTCAAACGAAACCAATTCATCAAGATTGCAAGAATGTAATTTGCGGTTTTTGGCCCCATTTTCCAAATTGTCTTACAATTGGGATGCAAGCATCCGTTTGTCAGGCATTTGATGCATACGGGCTGGAACTTGGTCGATTATGGTTTTTGGTTATATTTATGGGTAGGAATTTTGTTGAACCAACGTCGTCCAATGGTGCATCGGACCATCAATTTGAAATAGGTCATGATACGGTCGACAGTTCTCAATCGAGCCGAAGAAAACGGCCATTTAATATATATTTGATGTAATGGGGATTGAAGTTTTATTATTTCAATTTACTCATTTTATTATTTCAGTGTGTGTGTGTGTGTGTGTATGTGTGCACACAGTTCGTGAGCCTGACAACATCGTTCACATTTTACACTCGATCTTCTGCCATCGCAAAATGAAAATCTTTCGTATGACGGCGAGTGAAACATTTAAGTCGAGCGTCGAATGAATCTAATAAAACTCGAAAGCAAAAGGAAGAATGAGAGCTTTATCGTGAAATGAATCGCTACTACGAGTTAAAATCAAATTGGAATCCAAACATTGCTCAATTCATTGTTCCACATTTTCGGCTAGGATTTATCATTTCTCATTCATTGATAACATTCGAATTTAATTCCGAGCAGTAAAATTCCGTAAATGAAGCAGAAAAAAAATAAGCACACGCTCATCTGTTAGTTTCGTAAAGAAAATACACTTGTAAATCGACACATTAATTTAAAATACCGAAGCTCAATCGGAACAAAGTTCGGCATAGAGATGCATCTCCATTATATTATTGCAGTGCAATCAATCTTCGAGCGAATAAATTTATATATTTCGAAAGATCAACGCTTCAAAAGTTGGTTTGCATGTAAAATCAGGGGCCGTCGAAAAGCAAATACAAGATAAACGCTTCAATTTGCATAATAAATGAAAAGTAAGTTTGGTTGTAAGTCAAACGCTTGCATAACATAATAATGATTTCGGAACAATTCCAACCGAGTGAAATTTGGTCAAATTCTTGAGATTTAGCTTGACAATGACTTCACATTGAATAAATCGCATTATATTTTCCATTTAATTAATAAAATCATGCAGTAATCTCGACAATAAGCGGCCAAGTATAAATAATTAGAGGTTTTGCTGACATTTCTGTGTGATTGGGTGTATGGTCTGGTCTGGTCTGTCTCTGTGTGTATATGTGTGCGCTTTGCGTGCAACTGCACCACAGAGTTCCATCCAAGATGTTGTAGACTGACTCAGTCGCTGTGCCTGACAGATGAACACACATACACTCACACTCTGCCGAGGGGAGTGGGAGCCAGGGCGAAAGCGTTGTGTGACAAAGCAATTGCAGTGTGTTGAGGAATGGCTTTATTATTGTGAAATGGAAAAACTTTGCCAATTTTAATTTAAAACATTTAAAATCGGTTTCTCATTTGCCGGAAATGTTTGAATATGCAGAAACTGGAGCCGATGCAAGATGTATGTGTGTGTGTGTGTGTGTGCATTGTCAGTGCATACGGCACATTATTCGTCCAATTTAATTTGAGCTTTTCTCAAATATGCACAACGGAACAACCGAAGAACACAGAATACATGTGAAAAAGAATCGATATTCTGGTGGAAAGTTGAGGCCATTATGTGTGCTTGCTTTCTCTCCCTCTCTCTCTCGCTCGCTATGTGGATGTGATCAACGGGTAGCCATTCATGTTGTTTTTTTTACATTTCTCTCTACCCATTACTTTAGAAGTATTCCGAGGAAAAAGGAAGATGAAGAAAAAAAAAGGAAAGAGAACACGCAACCGAAACAAGATGAACATACAAAGACCAACAATAACATATGCCATAGACTTGAAATATAAAATCCGGTTCACTGCAAGAGAGCACGCTTTCTTTTCCCAACCATCCGCTTCCACTCAGTGTGTCGAGCGTATATATATTTCTTTTGTGGAAAATCAAATGTTATGACAAAAATATTTTACCCGAAAAACGGTTCCAGCCAAACTTCTCTTGCTACTTTATGTGTATGCGTGTGTGTGTGTGTGTGTATGTAAGCTTAAAGGAGCCGAAAGTGTTGTGAGTGTGAGTGTTTTCGCTTCACTTTATGGAGTAGATGAAGAATGGGCCGTGCATACGCTCAACTTTTGTTGATCTTACAGCAACTGTTTATCGTTAATATGCCCTCCTCTCCGTCTGCATTGTGAGCACTCATTTCACTTGCTTCATTTTCCGTTTAAACAAGCGCCAAAGTTTAAATATATTTCGCCTATTACATGTTACATCGCTCTTAGTAACAACCATCGGCAGCAGTAACAACAGCGGCAGTAGCTTTTTCTACTCTTCATAATGGAGTTAAAACTGGCAGACAAACTGAGATTCCCGAGAAATGGCTCCATTCATATCGGCCACTGTTATTACCAGTCATGTGAAAAATCAAATTTTGATAAAGTCATTTTTGGAAAGTTACATTTTATTATTCAGTGTGTCTTTGTTAGTTCAGGGATTTCCTCAAGAAATTACAAAAGTGAAGATGCCCCTCTATGGCATAAGGATTCCCTCATAATAATTAATATAATATTCTCATTTGGACGGATTTCCAAGATAATGATACAATATTCTCTGAAATGAACACACAATGAAAGCGCCTATCACCAGCTACTGACACTCTCAATCTCCCGCTCTTTCTCACTCACACTCACGCACATACTATACGCTCAGCTCTGACTGTGTGTTATTATTTTCCGGTCCGTCTGAAATGGAACGTAATTACAATTGGTACGCAATTACTCGGGATGATTATATAGCAAGCGGGAGGCAAACATCAATTTAAAATGCATGACACTTGATTCTCATGCCAAATCGATGGTGGTAATTTTGCATTTTTCTATGGTGTTCACTGTTGTCTGGAATTTATTTATCCAATTTAATTCTCGGAAACCATTTGAAATCGGGCATATTCAGAGTGACAAGAGAATGGAGAGAAAGATATGTATATGGCAAACGGAAATGCAAGAGGGTCGGTGTTTCAACTCTACTCAAATTGAATCTATTGAGTAATTTACTGTGTGTGTGTGTTTTTCTCTATTTCCAGTTGCCATTAGTAGCAGTGGAAACAATCGAATGCAATTTTTATTGTGTCGTGCTTAGCAGCATTCGTTTTTCCTAGTGGAAAAATTTATGCGTGACGATGTGTAAATTTTCATTCGAAGTTAGGAATCATGTTGAGATACATGAACAACAGGGCAAATGTGCTTCTCTTCTGTTTGCTCTTTTCTTCTTCTGTTTCTTGTCTATGCAATTTGTGCTCCGTTTGTATTATCCAGTAGTCGGGGTATATATGTTGTGTTTTGTTATATAAACGTCAACGTTATTACTCTCGTGCATACACACAGAATACAAGAAAACATATCGCCCTCATCAGCAGTATTATTTAGCAAATAAAGAATGCGAAAAAAATGGCAATGAAAATAAGTGCAAGTGGATGCTTGGACAAGTGCACAAAAATAAAATACGAACGAACGAACGAAAGAACGCTCTCTTAGTATGGTTTTTTATGAGTCGGCAATATTTTTTTTATATCGTGTTGCATGAATAAATTGAAGCTGTAGAGTAACGAAAATTAGATGCAGATCTCGTTAGAATCCATTATACCACCGTAACGTTCGTTCGTTCGTTCGTTCTTTGCCTCCTCTGAGAACTTGAAACTAAGGACATCTTCATATTTCAATTGAATCGTGCGTACAAAAGATGTTTTCGGTGTGAACGATGAACGTTCCATGAAAATTGTAGTAAAGTTTTTGGTGTACGTGTGTGTATGTGTGTCAATGCGAAGCGCTTTGGCTACAGCAATGCTTCGATACGTGAAACACACATCTGATGGACGTGGTTGAAGATTTTCAAGAGAAATTTCTATGCACTGCAATAGCGATCGCCAAAAAGTTTTAAGGGAGAGAATATACATGTGGAGCACACATCGAGAGAGAGAGAGAGAGAGAGAGAGAGAGAGAGAGAGAGAGAAGAAAGTGTGCTATGAGTTTTTCTGTGTTGTGTACTGTGCCAATGTGCGTCTGTTTATGGTGAAACCACTTGTTTTTCAGGTTTTAGAATTTCATATTGATGGTTGTTGGAAATATAGAACTACGACTACGCTACGATACACTGTTCTTCGATAT